ATTGCACGCCGCCTGGCTGGCAATTTGTCCGGCCGTTAGTCTGTATGCCTGTCTTCCCGGCTCTCTGAGCGCGGCGCTTTGAGCTTCTTAGCTGAGGGACGCGTCGGCCACCGCCGCCCGCTCGCTTGTCGGTGGCCCTGACGAGGTTGGGGGAGAGGGTGCCGAAACGCGCCCAGAGTCCAGCAAGGCATGAGGGTGCAAACGGTCAGTGCAAACCCGACTTGTCTGGCTGATGCTCTGGGGGGGCCTGTGCTCAGGGGGGGCTGCAGCACCGCTCAACGATGCCCTGTTTAACCGATCCTGCAGGGTGGGACCTTTCCCGGATCCGTGCTTCGGTGCGGATCGTCGGCGCGCCCCGTCTCCGTCGTCGTCGTCGTCGTCGGCGGCGGCGTCGTCGTGGTCGTGGTGCGTGTTGCTCTGCTCGGGAATTGTTTCCCTTCTGCAGTGACCAATTACTTGGATTGCCAGGCATTGCACGCCGCCTGGCTGGCAATTTGTCCGGCCGTTAGTCTGTATGTCTGTCTTCCCGGCTCTCTGAGCGCGGCGCTTTGAGCTTCTTAGCTGAGGGACGCGTCGGCCACCGCCGCCCGCTCGCTTGTCGGTGGCCCTGACGAGGTTGGGGGAGAGGGTGCCGAAACGCGCCCAGAGTCCAGCAAGGCATGAGAGTGCAAACCCGACTTGTCTGGCTGATGCTTGGGGGGAGCCTGTGCGCAAGGGAGGCTGCAGCACCGCTCGACGACGTCCTGTTTAACCGAACCTGCAGGGTGGGCCCTTTCCCAGATCCGTGCTTCGGTGCGGATCGTCTGCGCGCCTCGTCTCCGTCGTTGTCGTCGTCGGCGTCGTCGTGGTCGTGGTGCGTGTTGCTCTGCTCGGGACTTGTTTCCCGTCTGCAGTGACGACCACCACCACCACTCTCCATTTCCTCACTCCCGATCAGACTCGCTCATACTCAGACTCGCTCACGCTGAAACTCACACACACACACACTCAGGTGCAATCAGACTTAGATGCGCTCAGACTCAGATACGCGAACACTCAGACTCAGACTCATGCACACTCGGAGTCGGAGTCACTCACACTCAGACTCACGCACGCTCAGCTTTCGGAAAACACTGTGAGGATGTCGCGGGCGAGGCGCGGGTTTGAGCACCCTGACGGGCAACTGCCAAGGGTGGTTGTACGGCCCCGTTCGCGCCCAGATGGTAGGGATGTCTCAGGCTGTTTAGCTGCTTGGTGGCTTGGACACCGGCGCTTTCAGCGCAGATGGTGAGAATGTATCAAGCGAGGCGCTGGCTTCAGTTCCCCAATCAAGGGGGAGCCGCCAGGGGTGGTTGCACAGGCCCCGTTCGCGCTCAGTTTGTCGGGCTTGCCTGTGTGGTGGCTTGGACTTCGATGCTTTCAGAACAGGTTGTGAGGCTCGTTTTCCACCGCTGGAGGGGGGAAGGAGGTAGAGGAGGAGGAGGAGGAGGAGGAGGAGGAGGAGGAGGAGAAGTAATACGACGACGACGACGACGACGATGATGTCTCAAGCGAGGCGCTGGCTTCAGCACCCCGTGCGGTAAGACCGTGGGAGATGTATCCGCGCGAAGGGCTCGGTGTTGCACCTCCGACTCCTGTCCATTCCGAGCCCCACACTCACCTTGCCGTCGCTCGGACGTCCATTTCCCGTGTACTTTTCGGTTTCGTGCATGTGTTTTTTTTTGCTCGATGGTCCAGGATGCTCCTCCAGGGTCCTCGCCGAGAAAAAACTGCACACGTCCGAGCGATGCCAGGTCACTTCGATGTAGGGAGAAGGACGGCTGCCAGGACAGAGGGAGAACGGAGGAAGGAGGAGGACGCAGGGAGGGGGAGCATGGAGAAGGGGAGGAAGAGCAGAGAGGGGGGACAACCAGCAGCAAAAGGACGGAGACGGGAGGGGGCCTGCTCACCGACTGCCTGCCTGCACGTTGCCGTCGTCGCTGTCCCTCGTTGTAGCCGCTGCTGCCGTCGTCATCGTTGAAGTCGTCGTCGTACTTGTCGTCCACTCGGACTCGCTCGCACACCCAGACACTCACAACGCGACCTGCCAAAAAAATGAGATACACTTACTTCTGGGGAACTTAACGTCGAGGCATTGTTTACCTCGATTGCCGCAATTGTATAAGATGTGTGTTGGGCTGTGCGACCTACGCCGATGGCAATTGTGTATCTGTATCTCCACGTTCATCCCCCGCCTGTCCGTCCATCAGTTTCCCTCCACCTGCCCATTCCCCCTCCCCATCCACCGATTCCAGAACGAGGACGGGCAGGACCTCATAAGGCCAAGGCAAACATGTGAATCAAGTCGAGGATAATGAAACGAAAATCTCTGAGAGCCGTCGGGTATGATGCATGGACCGGGCGCCGTGGCTGTTCCCAAGCGCCCCAGGACGCTCTGAGAGCGTTCTGGAGTGCTCTGGCGCGATGCATCGACAGCACAGCCTCAAACTGACCAAGCCTACAGCCAAACCTAGAGCGACCGACGCAGACAGACCACAGGCAGCCTATAGATGGGCGCGTATCGACGCGGCGAGGAAGCGGCGGCGTATCGACGCGGCGAACAACTTCGCGCTCTCGCGCCGCCCCCAAACGGGAGTAGAGGAGGACGAGGAGGAGGGGGAAGAGGAACGAGGCCCGCGAAGCGTGAAGCGCGACTGGCTTCGCGCCCTCGTGGGAGCCCTTGGTGTCGGTGTCCCTGTCCCCCTTCTGAGAAAACAAAACCTCCGCTGGGGGATTCCGCAGGATGCCGCCAGCTGCCTCGAGCTGCCTCGGCCCTGGCGCTGCCGCACGAAGCGCGGCGCGCCCCGTGCGGATCGGCCACCTCCCCAGAACCACGGCGCGGGTGCCGTGGGCGCCTCTCGCTCGACAGTCGGACAGGGGCTCATGATGCTGCAGCCTGCTTTGGCCTGGACCACCAGAGAGAATTCCGAGCGCCAAAAAAGTACCCACAAACTCAAAGGCTTTCACGTGTCGGGCCCTGGGAGACACTCGCCCGACACCGTTTCGACACTGTGTCGACACTCTTTCAACACTTCTCCGGGTGCTCGAAATTATTTCTGGGATGTGGTCCGTTAAGTACGATGGGAGCAACATAAACGGAGGCCAGAAAATCATCCCTCAAGAACATGAGACCCTCCGTCGGCCAGAACACACAGAACATCCGAGGTCACCATCCCCAGGATGCACAGGAACACGCAACAGACACGAGGTACCCTCCCCGAGCCGACCTCGAGCTTATACCTCGGTCCGCCTCTACTCTCGCATACACCCCTCCTGCCTCAAGCTGCCCCCCACTGCCCCCGACACCCAGCGGCGTGCGCGCGCCGCTTGCTTGCTGGCATGGGTGGCAGCCCATGCCGACCCTTTGCGAGCGGGCGCGGCCAGCGAAAGCGGCCAAGGATGGGCCGCGGAGGCAAGGATGCAAAGGTACCCTTGGGAAGGTTACTCATCCTTACTACGGCAAGCCCGTGTCGTGCCGACTTCGACGTTGGTTCCTGACACCGCGGGGATCGTTCAACCTCGACCGATTCTGGGCCGCCGCCGGCATTCAACGTGAAGCGGCGGCGGCGGGGTCGCCGCCAGTCGACAGGACGCGAACCTACCGTATGCGGGTGGACTGTCAATTCTCGGGGAGACGTAAGACTCGGGTTCGGGGGACTCGGGTGGGCCTGCTGGGGCCATCATGAAAATCACATGACCCCGTCTGAAATGTGAAGCGGGCTCCCGCTCCAAACATCCAACGAAAACTGAACTGCCAAATTCCAGCACGCGCTCCTCAAAAGGCGTCGGCGACCCGAGTTCTGGCGCACTCGGGTCTTACTTTTCCACGAAATTCGTCCGTCTGGCACCCAGGACAACCCAGCCCCAGACCCGGGTCAGTCAGGCCTTGCAAAGTCCTGCAAGATCCTGCAAGGTCCTGCACCCAAGCCCGGGTCAATGCGAAGGACCCTGCAAGATCCTGCAGGATCCTGCGCCCAAACCCGGGTCGATGCGACCCTCGCCCTGCAGGATCCTGCAAAAGATCGGGCGCTCTGCCTGACCCCCGTTTGCATCGACCCCCGTCTCAAGGCTCCCGAACGCCGGGCCCGCCCTGTCGACCGACCTCGGGGGGCCACAAGGAGGAGTTATCGATAAGAACAAGGACTGGAGGAGGGGGAGGAGGAAAGGGAGGAGGCGGAGGAGGAAGAGGAGGATGAGGAGGTGGAGCAGGAGGGGAAGGAGGAGGAGGAGGAGATGAGAGAAGGAGGAGGAGGAGGAGGAGGAGGAGGAGGAGGAGGAGGAGCTCCCGTTCCAGGGCTCCCCGACCCCCCAGCTGCCCCCGACGCCGGGCGACGTGCGCGCGCCGCCCGCCTGCTCGCAGGGGTGGCAGCCCGCCCGGCCAGCCTCACCGCGGCCGAGGGCGCGCGGCCTGCGCGCACGGCCGCGCAGCGGGCACCCAGGGGGGGGGGGCGCTCCGACCTGTCCCCGCCTCCTCCCCTCCTTCTCGTGCTCCTCCTGCTCAGTTCTCCTCCTCCGTCCGCCTCCATCTCCTCCTCGTCCTCCTCGTCCTCCTCGTCCTCCTCCTCGTCCTCCTCCTCCTCCTTCTCCTCCTCCTGCTCCTCCTCCTCCTCCTCCTCCTCCTCCTTCTCTCCTCATCTCCTCGTTGTCATCCTCCTCCTCCTCCTAAACCTTCCTTTCATCTTCCTCCTTTCTGTCTTCCTCCTCCGCCTCCTCGTCTCCTCCTCCTTCCCCTTCCCCTCCTCCTCCTCCTCCTCCTCCTCCTCCTCCTCCTCCTCCTCCTCCTCCTCCTCCTCCTCCTCCTCCTCCTCCCCCTCCTCTGCTCGGTTGTACCAACGTCGGCAAGCGTGAGGGCCGCGTTTTATCACGACGATCTTCGCTCCACCTCCGCCTCCCTCCTCTCCCGCCCCCTGCTCCCTGCAATTTCTCCTCCTCCTCCTCCTCCTCCTCCTCCTCCTCCTCCTAGTCTCGGGCCGGACGAAAGGGGAGGATTGGGAAAGGGGGGGTTGCGAAATCTTCTGCATGCAGCTGGTTTCGGCCCCGCCGAGGGGCCCATTCCTCGATACATGGGCGACTCCCGGCGCCGGGAGGCGCCGGGAATATCAGCTACGTGAGCTGATTCTCAGGCACCCCCTTTGCTATCCCCCCTTTTCGCCCGACCCGATAGTCCTCCACACTCTGGGCGCGTGCAGCTAGAAGGCACGCGGTCAGGTGGGGCTTTCCAACCATCACCAAAGGTGTTTTACAATCGGCGGTGGACAAACCTCCCTTGAGTAAACCACCCTTTAGTAAGAACGGCCTGGGACCGAAACCGACGGACCTGGACCCGCAAAGATGACGGCCGCGACGCCCTCTCGCGAACCGAAAACGGCCAATTCCTTAATCGACGTGTCAGGGTAGGAGGTCTGTCCACCCCCGATACAAGAGCGCGAGGGCCAAGTGCCCCGCCGGACACAGGAGAGGTTCGGTGCGCAGCGAAGCGGCCTCATCTTGCAGGCCGCCCGAAGATGGCTCATGAGTGGAGTGAGCGCGCATACTGAGGATGCACGATGAGGAGGAAAGGGCCTTGGAAGGCGGACACCCTTTGAACGGGTCGTTGCCAGCAAAGGTGGCCAGGGTCGAATCGACCCGGACGGATGCAATGGCAACCTTGGAAGGTCGCTCTGCCTTGCTATGCCCTTTGCCTGTAACGCCGCTGTCTGCGTTCTTGTCCCCGTTCCAATCGCGCAGTCGCCGCGCTGCCACCAGGAACACTGAGCTGAGCGAGGAACGGAGGGCTTTTTTGGCCACGGCGAGCCTCGGCCACAAACAGGTTCCCCGAGCAAGATCTGAGGAACGGCCCGGAAACCCACAGCCCCATCCTGAAGCCAAAACGCCCCGCCTCCCCGGCGCAGAGTTAAGTCGGGCGTGTCCCTCTACAGGGGATTTTGGACGAATAGTAAGCAATAGTCCAAAAATACCCCCCCAAAGGAACGCAAATAGTCAAATAATCGCATTCTTAAAATTTCATGAAATTCGAATCGAAAAATTAATCGTATTCAATATTCAAAAAATAAGATATCGTATTTAATAGTCAAAATATCGTCCCCTGGCTATTGTTATAATATTTTTGGACATTCCCCCTGCAGAGGGCCAGGCCCGACCGAAGCCCAGAGGCCCTCCTTGCCCGCAGCAAGCGCCCGCGCTCCCTGCGCGGCAGTGGCTGCAGGCGCTGCCCCGTCGGGCCCTCTCTGGCTGCCAAAGCCTCGCGTGCGGGGGGAGAAACTTAGAAGCACCCAGAACCGAGCCTCTCCTCAGGGGGCGGTGTTCCAGGCTGGCGCCGGCCCGGTTCCAGGCCAGAGCGGCCCCGTTCGAGCCTGGAACGGCCCCGCTCGAGCCCGGAACGGCCTCGTTCCAAGGCAGAACGGCCCCGTTCTGGCCTGGAACGGCCCCATTCTAGGCTAGAACGGCTCCGTTCTAGGCTAGGGCGGTCCCGTTCTAGGCTAGAACGGCCCAAGCCCGTTCTAACCTGAACCGGCCTGCCAGTGACTCGCAGTCAGTGGGTCCCCCTCCACTGCGGGGGCCCAGCCCCTGCAGCACGGGGGGGGAGCCAGCGTAGGGGGGGGGGACCATCGCGGGCACCAGGAATATACACTACCACCACGTCGATTTCTCCTCCCTCCTCTACCCTCCTACTCCGCTCCTCTGTCCTGGGAGGGGGAAGCGGTGAGGGAGGTGGTGGTGTAATCATATGTTTGGGCCCCGTAGCCATCGAGCTGGCCTCGGCGATACCTCGAGACGGCAGTTCGGCGATAAGCCCGCGGCAGCGAAACCCGCACGCTCCCTGGGCGGGGCTGGCTACACAGCGGCGAGCGGCGGGCGATGTCTGAGGTCGACGCGTGCCCTCCCCCCCAATGAGCAGATGCCCCCCCCCTGTCGGGTGGGCTCCGGATGGCTTTCGGGCGGCAGCTCACACAGTGGGGGGCCCGACCACAAGACACCTCCCACAAGAAGAGGGGAACAAAAAGTGACATCAACATAAAAACTCGGAGGCCCGCGCGGATTTCTCGGATCGGCGCTGGACCTCCCTGGCGCGCGGAGCGCGCCAGAGCGGCGCCTGAGGCGCCGCCGGGGGGCCCCAGCGCCGATCCGAGAAATCCGCGCGGACATCTGAGCTTTTATGTTTATGTCACTGTTTATTCCCCACAAGAAACCCGACCCTGAGGCCCCAGGACGTTCCTTGATGCTTGGTGCGGGAGCGTCCTGTTCTCCATCGCACAAGAGAGCCCAAGCAAGGAACCCGGGGCCCCCTGGAGGCAGGCAGGGTGTTGCTTGGCATGGGTCTCCACCCCACCTCCCGCGGCCGTCTAGGACGATCCGGCCCCCCTCCCCCCCAAACGCCTCTCGGCGAGGCACGGCTGCCGGAGAGCACCCCGAGGCCGGGAAGACGCCCAAAGCCGACGGGGACGCTCGAACACGAGGAGGAGGAGGAGGAGGAGGAGGCGGAGGAGGAGGAGGAGGAGGAGAAGGAGGAGGAGCTCGAACCCAGAAAAACGCCCCACTCCCAAGGCGATCCTCCCCCGGCGCTGCCCCGGATGGGGGGGGGGGGCATGCGGGGCCGGCACGCGGTCACTCCAGCGGGGGGGGGCCACTCTTGCGCGTGGCGGGCGCCGCGCGGAGGGCGAGAGCGGGGAAGGAGGGCTGAGCGCCATGAAGAGGCGCGGCCCTCCAGGGAACAGAACTCTATAACGCGTCTCGCCTCAGGTCGGGCATGGCCTCCTCCTGCAGGCGGACGTTGGAGGAAACGTGAAATCATCCAAACACAATCAAAAGCATGAAAGGACCGCACCGAACCGAGAACCGAGAACCGTGACCGAACCGGACCGAACCGGTCAAAAACCAAGAACGTAGAAAACCGAACCGGACCGAACCGCCTTTTGAAAAGGCAGTCAACCTAGCACGACACATCGTCACCAGACAATCTGTCGCTATGCTCGAGCACTCCCCACGCAGCAGGACATGCCCGCCCTCCATTCCCGCCGCGCTCGGCCTCTTCCCGGGGCCCGTCCGCCCCCGGCATCGCCTCGCCCCTGACCCTGGAAGAAGACACTGAAGGGGCCCCAGGACACACAAATAAATACACACAAATAAAAAGATTCCCAATATTTTCCTATATTTTTTTGGGTTTTTTGTCTTCCCCACCACTTCCCATATTTTCCCATATTTTCTTGGGAATCGACGATTCATTGTGTCTGTGTGTTTCCCCTCCCGAGACACAACGGCGTAAACAGGGGGCCAACCAACCTGCCTCGCTTTTGACCACCCTCGCTTCCAAGAGATACCAGGCGATGCCCAACTACGGCCTGTACTGGTAAGGGCGCCTGACGAGGAGGCGCGTGGTATGACTCGGTTTTGCCTGGAAGCGAAAGCGGGGTAGGTAATGCGCGCTCCGAGTAAACATAAACTTCTGGCACTCCGTGCGAATCTCTTGGATCCGCGCTGGACCGCCCTCCCTGGCGCGCGGAGCGCGCCGAGGGCGGCGCCGGAGGCGCCGCCATGGGGGCTCCGGCGCAGATGAAGGAAAATACGAGCGGAGCGCCAAAAGTTTGCGGTTGTGCAATTTTTGCTGCTTCGACTGACCCTCCCCTCCTTTGGGCGTCGCGTAACTGGGAGGGCGACACAAGGGGGGGATGGAGGAAGGTGCACCGCTCGGACCCTGACGGCTTCCTGTGGGGCCTATCCAGGGCCCTTTCTGGGGGCCTGCAGGGGCCTCTCTTCTGCAGCCCTCGCCGCGCCTCGGGGATCTTCTGACCCGGGTCAGTCCAGACACGGGTCAGCAGGACACCAAAAACTGCAATGCAGGACAAACAAATCTGTAACGCAGATCTTCGCACACCCGGGTCAGCCAATCATTATGCGCGGCCGCCTCGCGGCCACGAGCGGCTCAGACTGCAGGATCAGCCAGAGGAGGTCTTCGCAGGATCCTGCAGGATCTGGTGCCCTGGCTGACCCCCGTTCGGGTCGGGCGAAAGGGGGGGATAGCAAAAGGGGGTTTGAGAATCAGCTCTCGTAGCTGATTTTCCCGGCGCCTCCCGGCGCCGGGAGGCGCCCATGTATCGACGAATGGGCCCGACGGCGGGGTCGAAACCAGCTGCATGCAGCAGATTTCGTAGCCCCCCCTTTCCCGATCCCCCCCTTTCGTTCGGCCCGACCCGTTTGGATTGACCCCCCGTCTCGAGGCTCCCGAGCGCCCCCGTCGATCGCCCCCCCGGCACGCGACGCCCAACGTCCTGCAGGCGCAGCGCCTCCCGTGCCCGGGGTCGTCCTCGGTGGCGGCTGCGGGGCCTCCGGCGCGCCGAGCCGCCGCCGCGGGGCGCCTCTTGCCGGGCTGTTTTCTGTTCCGCCGGTCGAGGGGGCTGCTCTGCGGACTCGGCTCGGGCACGCCGCTCGCGCGCGACGGCTTCCAGCGGTGGCAGGGGCAGGGGCTGTGGAGAAGCCTCCCTTCCGTAGACCTCCCCTCAGCGAAAGCTGCCTGGGGCCGAAGCCGACGGGCCTGGAGACCCGCAAAAAATTTGACGGCGCGACGACCTCCCGCGCACCGAAAACGGCCAATTCCTTCATCGACGCGTCAGGGTACTCCAGATTTCGTAATAAAGGGAGGGGGGTCTCATTTCGAGGGGGGGTCTCTTCCAGGCTATCTTGGAGGGCCTGGGGGGTCTGGGGACGATGTTTTGGAGGGTTCTCCCACGGGGGAGGTCTGAAATGGCTTGTCTTGGAGGGTCCAGACCCCCTCCCTTTTATTACGAAATCTGGAGTAGGAGGTCTATCCACCTCCGAGGGCAGCGTTGGCGGGGAGGCGCCAGCGCAGGGAAGGGCACCGCGAGCTCGAAGACGCACCGCCGACGGCTCGGCGACGCCGGGCCCTCCCCCCCCGACGGCGAAGCCGCACGCTCCCCGTGCGGGGCGGGCCATCGGGCCCCTGCATAGCGGCGGTGAACGGGCGGTTGGGCGTCGATGTGCCGTTGAAGGGGTCCTGGGAAACACACACACACACACATCCACACACACACACACATAGACACAGATAACAGGAGCCCCCATCATTGTCCAATGTCTTCTGGGTTTCTGTCTCCCCCACACTTCCCATCTGTTCCCACATCTGTTCGGGGGAAGCGACGATCCATCGTGCCCTCCTGAGCTGTGCCCTCCCGAGTTCTGTGCCTGTGTGTGTTTTGTGCCCTCCCGAGTTCTGTGCCTGTGTGGTTTTGTGCCCTCCCGAGCTGTGCCCTCCCGAGTTCTGTGTCGGTGTGTGTTTTTGTGCCCTCCGCACCTTTTCCTGTGCAAGATCTTCGGCACCGCCTGTTTTCTGAGCCCTCCGGCCGCCTAAGGCCCCGCCCGCCCGCGCCCTGTCTCCCTAATTTGGGCTACCCGCGTCCCGTTTAGCTCTTGACTTGAAGGCGCCCGCTCCCGACCCGCCGACCAAAAAAGTGTTTTTGTGCCCTCCTGAGCTGTGTGGGCTCTGAGGGCGTTCGGGCCACACCTCGGCCCGTCGGCAGCCGTTCGAGACGTCGGGCAGCCCCACTCCTCCTCCTCCTCCTCCTCCTCCTCCTCCTCCTCCTCCTCCTCCTCCTCCTCCTCCTCCTCTCCTCCTCCTCCTCCTCCTCCTCCTCCTCCTCCTCCTCCTCCTCCTCCTCCCCCCCCCTCCTCCTCCTCCTCCTCCTCCTCCTCCTCCTCCTCCTCCTCCTCCTCCTCTCTCCTCCTCCTCCTCCTCCTCCTCCTCCTCCTCCTCCTCCTCCTCCTCCTCCTCCTCCTCCTCCTCCTCCTCCTCCTCCTCCCCTTCCTCCTCCTTTTTCCTCCCTTTCTCCTCCCTTTCTCCTCCCTTTCTCCTCCTCCTCCTCCTCCTCCTCCTCCCTCCCTCCTCCTCCCTCCCTCCTCCCTCCTCCTCCCTCCCTCCCTCCCTCCCTCCCTCCCTCCCTCCCTCCCTCCCTCCCTCCCTCCCTCCCTCCCTCCCTCCCTCCCCCCTCCCTCCCTCCCCTCCCTCCCTCCCCCTCCCTCCCTCCCTCCCTCCCCTCCCTCCCTCCCTCCTCCCTCCTCCTCCCCTCCTCCTCCTCCTCCTCCTCCTCCTCCTCCTCCTCCTCCTCCTCCTCCTCCTCCTCCTCCTCCTCCTCCTCCTCCTCCTCCTCCTCTCCTCCTCCTCCTCCTCCTCCTCCTCCTCCTCCTCCTCCCTCCTCCTCCTCCTCCTCCTCCCTCCCCCCCCCCCTCCTCCTCCTCCTCCTCCTCCTTCTCCTCCTCCTCCTCCTTCTCCTTGGATGGAGTAAATGGGCGGAGCTAGGCAGGGAGGAGGATCATCGATCATCTACGCCAGCTAATGGAAGCAGCGACCAGCCTGGGCCCCGAGGGCCAGCGGAAACGTTCGAAAACCCTGGCGGACCCCTCTGCGGGGCCCATCCTCAAGTCGGGCGTGTCCCCCATACAGGGTTTTTTGTTCGAAGAAGAAAAAACATACCCCCAACAATACTTCAACATGGTCAGAAAATACTTTAAAAATAGTCCCCAGACGATGTTTTGATTATTTTTGAATATCCCCCCTGTAGAGGGACAGGTCCGACTTAAGCCTGTCCCTCCCCCCCTGACGTTGCCCCTGAGGTCGTGGCAGGGGCCGAGAGGCACCGACGGCGAGGTCAACCCGTGCCCGACGCGATCGGCCCCGCAGCCGCCCCTGGAGACCTGCAGGGGAGAGGGCGGCCCTCAGACGGTGAATCCAAGCGCGCTGGCCAGGGCTAGGGGTGAGGGGCAACGATTTGGACGCCCGAAATGGGTACGGAAAAAATGGGTACAATGCCCAACAACAAATGTTGTCCCAAACCAACAGCGGCCGCGGTTGGGCAGGCGGCCTCCTGTCTCGAATGGACACAGGCCGCGGCGGCGCGGACAGCGAGTCCTGTTCAAAATGAACAGGAACTGCTGTTGTGTATCGTACCCATTCCTTCCGTGCCCATTTCGGGCGTCCAGAGTGAGGGGCAACGAGAGGGGGGGGAGGGGGACCGGCTCAGGGAGGGAAGCATCGAGCTGGCATCGGCGATACGACACCGACAGGTCGGCGGCAAGCCACCGAAAGAGCCGGGCCGCGCCGCCCCCCGGGCGGGGAGGGCCGCCCGGGCCCCCCTCGTCGGCGATGCACATGGGCGAGCGGGGATCGACGCGTCGCCCCCTGGGGCCGAGGCCCCCCCTGACGCTGCCCCTGACTGGCCGTCGCTCGGACGTCCATATTCCGGTGCATTTGTCGGTCTCGTGCGTGTTTTTTTTTGCTCGGTGGTGATGGTCCTCGAGGGTTCTCGCCGACAAAAAAAAACACACGTCCGAGCGATGCCAAGCACTGATGGGGGGGGGGTGGCCCGTGGGACCACACCAGGTCGCTCCAGGGGGGGGGGGGCACTCTTGCGCGCGGCCCGCGCCGCGCGGAGGGCGAGGGGGGGGGGAGCGGGGAAGGGGGGCTGAGCGCCACGAAGAGGCGCGGCCCTGACGCGTCTCGCCGTAGGTCGGCCTCCCGGGGGCCTGCCGCAGGCCCCGGGCCGACCAGAACAGGTCCCAGCGAGGAGAGGGCCTCGGGGCCAGGTTGCGTGTTCTCGTTTCTGGCATGTCTTTGCTTGTTACGCCTGCGCTTTTTGCAGGAGCGTCTCCATCGCGGCGCAGCTCAGTCATGAAACATGTGAAAATACGTTCTGTCCAATCCACTCGACAATTGCGTGCGTGCATAGATCAGGTTGGATATCTGCTGCCATCTCCTGCATTACCGGAAGCAATGCGTCCACATCCAAATCTACCTCCGACAAGAGAACCTTATCGAAGCCGATCTGATCGAGCGCGTTTGTTATCATAACGTCCTCAAAACGAAACTCTGGCGGGGTACCTGGTGTGGGGTACATAGGCGGGAAGGCGATGCGCAGCAATATGGAGGCGACGAGCTGCTTGCCGCCAGTCTCGTCGGGTGGCCTCTCGTCAGGCACGGTCATCTGCAGCAGCAGCTCCAGCGGAGGGTACGCTGCGAGCGCGCGCAGCCCTTCTGCAGGATCGACCTCCGAACGCGCCTTCAGTTCGTCCACGGCCGCCGAATCATACAGCGGGCAAAACTCCTCAGGGAACATCGCCTCGAGCATCTCGAGCTCGTCCAGCTGCGAGCGCCGGCAGTCGGCGAGGGCCTGCACCTCTTCGGGGCTCGCACCGACATCCCCGTCCGAGGCCCCTCCGGAGTCGTCTGGGTCCTGCAGCGCCTGGAGCTGCATCTGCTCTGCCATCTCGGCCATGCGAGCCCGCGCGAGGTCGCTGGCTTTGAACAGCATATCGTTTGCGTCGCTCTCTTCCTCGGCCACGCCCGCGTCCTGTCTCGCCTCGCCTGCGCTCCTCGCGTTCCGATGGCGGTCGATGTCCGCCTTGGTCCAAACCTTCTTCGGAGGTCCGAATTTGCCGCCGTCCCTGGTCCACTTCGCAATGACCTCCTTGTGCGAGAGCTTCTTCGTGCTAGACTTGATCTTGGGCTGCAGATCCCTCCATCGCACCACATTCTTCTTCTCGCTCTGCATGCGAGCCATGTCGAAGACGTCTGAATCAATAGGACGGCAAGAAACAAAAATGGCACAGAGGATGCCTCGGACAATCAGGCCATACGGCTCGAGCCAAACCTGGCCAAATGGCTTGAGCAAAATGGCTACGGATGCATTCCCCTCATGCCGAGAGAGGAGCAAAGAGGTCAGGAGGGAGGAGGGACAATGGCAGCGCCGATCCCATATCGAAAGAGGGAAAGGATGAGTGAGCATAGGGGAGGGAGGACCATGGAGGGAAGAGCGAGGAGAGCGAGGCGTACGAGAGTTGCCACAGTTGCACGGCTGGCAGCCCAGGGAGAAGCGAGGTCTCCTCTGGGTATGCGTGGCACTCCGGTCCGCTGAGACTCCGAGCAACGCACGAAAATGGCGACATTTGCGCAGTTGGCAACTCCAAGGGAGCCGCAAAGTCTCGTCTGGGTCTGCTCAGCACCTCGCGAAATTGGCAACATACCTCCCAGCACCGCGCGAAATTGGCAACAGACCTCCTAGTAACACGCGGGGGTTGTGTCAACTGCGCAGTTGGCAGCCCCAGGGACCTGAATCCGCGTGTCACTCTTTTCCGTTGGACATCCGAGCAACGCAAGAAAGTGGCAACGGATGCGCAGTTGGCAGCCCCAATGGGGGCAGCGGCGAAGTCTCGCCTGGGTGCGCGCGGCACTCCGAGCAATCCACGAACGAAAAAACGTTGCGCCGCTGGGAAGCCCACGTGGAGCAGCGAGGTCGTCAGGCGCGTAAGTCTCAAGCATCTAAATGTCTGAACTCTGTGTGCTACTAGAGCTAGGTCCGCGAAATATTCGTACTCTACTATTTTTTTGGAGATGATGATGAGTTTCTTAACTTAACTCGAGCTGTAGATGCGCTACAGAGCTGTTCAGCAGTCTTGTCTGCGTGTGCGTGGCAATCCACTCCGCTGGACCTCCTGGCGCGAACGTCGCGACCGCTGCGCGGCGGGCGCTGGCAGCCCCCGATGGAGCAGCGATACCTCCTCCTCCTCCTCCTCCTCCTCCTCCTCCTGGGTGCGCGTGGACTTTATAAAACGACGCGAAGATCGGGACAAAATCGGATCGGGATAACTCGACATCTCTGAGAACCGGCGGGTTTGGGGGATGTATTGGGCGCCGCGGCCGCTCCAGAGCGTTCCCCGGAACGCTCTGAGAGCGCTCCGGAACGCTATGGAGCGATTTATCCCGATCCTAGCCCTGTTTTACTTTACTCCGCTGGGCATCCCAACATCCACAACAGGGGCGAGGAAAAACACACTTGGCAGCCCCAAGGGACCCGCGAGGTCTCCTATAGGTCTGCGTGGCACTCCACTCCGCTGGACCTCCAATCTTGCGCCGCTGGCACCCCCAGTGGAGCACCGATGTCTCGGCTTGGTCCGCGTGGCACTCCACCCCGCTGGACCTCCCAGCAACGCACGAACGTGGTGACCGTTGCGCCGCTGGCAGCCAGGGAGCAGCGACGTTTCGTCTTGGTGTGAATGTCACTCCACTCCACTGGGCCTCCCACAAAGCACAATAGTGGGGACGGTTGTGTGGCTGGCAGCCCCCCAGGGAGCAACGAGATCTCGTCTGGGTATGCGTGGCGCTCCACTCCGCTGTGCCTGCCATCAACCCACGAAGATGGTAACCATTGTGCAACTTGCAATCCCAAGGAACAACGATGTCTCGTCTGGGTTTGCCTGGCACTCAACTCCGCTCGACTTCCCAGGAGCTCCTGAAAATGGCGGTAGTTGCAGTGTTGGCACCACCCCAGGGAGCCGCGAGCTAGTCTGGGTAGTAGGGAAGACGCAAGTCGGAGGTAGGTGGCAAGAAGGCGGGAGACGCGTGGACAGACGCGCGAGCAGTGCTGTAATTATGCGGAACGCGAACCCAACGCATGAAGATTGTAAAGCATATTGCATGTTACAGTTTCGTGCCCGACGGGCATCTGAGGCCTCAAGATAGCTCCAGAATCGCCCAAGAGTGCTCCAAGGTGGGCCCAGAGAAGGTTCAAATGCGGCACCGAAGACCCCACGAGCGCCCCAGCATCAGACATATGCGACCAGCTACAAGGCCAGACCTGCACAGGACACGGGAGGAACAACAACTACTGAGCTCACATGCAGCACACCTGTGCACTCCCAAAGACCCCACAACGCACCACAGCACAACACCACCCAGAACCACACGCACACACCCACACACACACACTCACACAACAACACACACACACACACGAACACCACCCCCACAAACCCACATACACGCAAACATACCCCCCGAACACAGACCCCCACACACACACACACACACACACACACACACACAGACACACACACACACACACACACACACACACGCACGCACGCACACACATACAGCCCCACACACACCCACGCTCTCTCACACACACACACACACACGCGCGCACACACACACCCACACACAAAACCATACACATACACCCCACACACACACACACCGTCAAACACCCACAAATCCACACCCACATACACACAACCGCACACACCCAAACACACCAACACACACCCACACACACACCAGCACACACACATAACAACACACAGACACCGATACACACCGATACACATCCACACACACCCACACATACACCACCCACACGCACCTACACACACACACCCACACGCACCGACACACACACACACACACGCACACGCACACACACACACACACATACCTACACACACCCACACACACACCAACACACACATCAGCACACACACACACACCCACACACCAACACACCCGCACACCCATATACCCACACACCCACACACGCAGACCCCTGCACACCCGCACACCCACACACCCACACACCCACATGCCCACACACCCAAACACCCAGACACCCAGACACCCAGGCACCCAGACACCCAGACACCCAAACACCCAAACACGCAAACACCCACACACCCGCACGCCCGCACACCCACACCGTCGCACCGTCGCACACCCGCACAGCCACACACTCACACTTCCAGACACTCAGACACCCACACACACACACACACACCCACACACACACACAAATCGACGCACACCCACACACCCACACACACACCCACACCCGCACACCCACACCCTCCCCCACCACGCACACACACACAACCCACACACACTCACACACTCACGCACCCACACAAAACACACCCGCGCAACGACGAGGCGACGTAAGTAACAACACGGCGCGCACGACGGCCGCGCCAACAAGAATCGCTGAGGATTCAGAACCTGACGGCCTCAACCACCAGGGCGGGGATGGCAGGGAAACGGCACGCCAGACAGTGGGCGAAGCCCGAGCGGACACATGAGAGAAAGAAATACTGCATCAACACATCCTGGCGTGGATGGCATGGAGGGTGCACGTAAACCGAGGAAACACACACACACACGCGCGCACACACACACACACACGCACACACACGCGCGCAAAGCACACACACTCACACACACACACACACACACACACACACACACACACACACACACACACACACACGCGTACGCGCGCGAATACCCTCACTCACAAGCAGTCTGTCCATCCGCATGGTGGCTCTCTCTTCCTGTAAGCGAGGTGTCCAGGTACAGTTGGCGAAGCCGACCGACGATACACGAGAGAGACTGTCCACGATGGTCGCTTGGTCACCCTCTAAATCAGCCTTCGCCGTTTCTAGTCTCGTGATTGGTTCCAAAATGACAAGCGGGCCTTGTACCATGCGATCTTCATTTTTCCCCACCATCCTGTGGTGTTGGGTCATCGCATCGCTTTGAAAGAAAAACGCCCTGTGCCACTCCTTCCTTCCTCCTCCCCCTCCTCCCTCCTCCCCTTCCTCCCGCTCTTCCCACCCCTTGCACCCCTCACACGCTTCGTGTCCCTATAGGGAGCTCCAACGAAGACCCCGAAGCCAGGGTTCGCATGCGGTGGCACCTCCATGTCTGCACACCCCTCACACGCGTCATGGCCCTGCAGGGAGCTCCACCGAAGGCCCCAGTGGCAGGGTTCACATGCGGTTCCACCCCCATTTCGGCACATCTCTCACACGTTTCGTGGGCCCATAGGGAGCTCCACCGAAGGCCCCAATGGCAAGGTCTGCATGCGGTTCCACTCCAATTTCGGTACACCTCTCACACGTTTCGTGGCCCTATAGGCTGTAGGGAGCTCCACCGAAGGTTCCAAATTTCGGCACGCCTTCCACACGTTTCGGGCCCCGTAAGGAGCTCCACAGAAGACCCAAATGGCAAAGTTCGCATGCGGTCGACCCGTCATTTCGGCATACGTACCCTCACAGGTTTCGTAAGCCCTATAGCAAGCTTCACCGAAGGCCCCAGTGGCAGGATTCGCATGCGGTGCAACCCCCATTTCGGCACACCACTCACCATCTCGTGGCCTTAAAGGGAGCTCCACTGGGGGCGGCCCCAGTAGCAGGGTTCGCATGCAGTTCCACCTTCAATTTGGAACCCCCCTTACATGTTTCGTGACCCCAGAGGGAGCTCCATCGAAGGCCCCAGTGGCAGGGTTCCAATGCGGTTCCACCCATATTTCGGCACACCCCTCACACGCTTCGTGGGCACATAGGGAGCTCCTCCGAAGGCCCAAATTCGGCGGTGGACACACCTCCCTTTAGTAAACCACCCTTTAGTAAGAACGGCCTGGGACCGAAACCGACGGGCCTGGACCCGCAAAAATGACGGCCGCGACGCCCTCTCTCGAACCGAAAACGGCCAATTCCTTAATCGACGTGTCAGGGTAGGAGGTCTATCAACCTCCGACAAATGGCATGGTTCGCATGCGATTCCACCCACATTTCGGCACACCCCTCACACGTTTCGTGGCCTGAGCTCCGCCGCAGGCCCCAGTTGCAGGGTTCGCATGCGGTTCCAACCCCCATTCTGGCACACCCCTCAACGGTTTCGTGGCCCTGTAGGGAGCTCCACCCACGGCCCCAGGGCCAGGGTTCGCATGCGGTTCCACCCCCATTTTGGCAGATCTTTCACACGCTGAGTGGCTCCATAGGGAGCTCCACCGAAGACGATGCTCACAACTTCGGCACCCACAACTGCATATGAGCCAAGAAACTGTGTTCACGCAGCTTGCGTCATGCCAGTCGCGCCTCGTCATCTGTCCTTGCACCTGTCGTCGGATCACTCCAGCTGCGATGATGTAAGCGGAGTTGTCGAAAGACTGTACAAGACGGTCGGGGACACTACAAAATTGAAGAGTCTCAGGCCCAACTTGATTGGAACCCTATGGTTGGAAAGAGTATGGCCCAATTCATGGAAGCGCATCCACTCGAACGACAAGCGGTGTTGACCAATGGTTTTATGGCTTCGTTTTGAAGAGCTCAGTGTTCCCAACCATCCAGTGGTGTTGGGTCCCCGTGTTGAAGAGACAGCGCCCCGCATCACTCCTTCCTTCCTTCCTCCTCCCCCTCCTCCCTCCTCCCACCCCTTGCACCCCTTCCACGTTTCGTGGCCTAATGGGGAGGTCCACCGAAGGACCCAGTGGCAGGGTTCGCATGCGGTTCCACCCCCACTTCGGCACACATCTCACACACTCCGTGGCCCCACGGGAAACTCCACCGACGGCCCCAGTGGCTGCGCTCGCATGCGGTTCCACCCCACATCCGGCATACCACTCACACGTCTCGTGGCCCTATAGGGAGCTCCACCAAAGGCTTCAGCGGCAGGGTTCGCATGCGGTTCCACCCCCATTTCGGCACACCTCTCACGCGTTCGTGCCCCCACAGGGAGTTCCACCGAAGGCCCCAGTGGCAGGAGCTCGCATGCGGTTCAACCTCCATTTCGGCACACCCCTCACACGTTTCGTGGCCCCATTCATAGAAGGCCCCAATGGCAGGGTTCGCATGCGGTTCCACCGCAATTTCGGCACACCTCTCACTCGCTTCGTGGCTCCATAGGGAGCTCCACCGAAGGCCCCAGTGTCAGGGTTCGCATGCGGTTCCACCCACATTTCAGCGCACCCTTCATATATTTCGTGGCGCCATAGGATGTTCCACCTAATTCCCTAGAAGCAGGGTTCGCATACAGTGCCACCCCCATTCCGGCGCACCACTCGCACGTTTCGTAGGCCCATAGAGAGCTCCACCGAAGGCCCCAGCCCCAGTGGCAGGGGCTCGCATGCGGTTCCACCTCCATTTCGGCACACCCCTCACACGCTTCGTGGTCCTACAGGGAAAACTCCACCGAAGGCCCCAATCCGCATGCGGTTCCACACCCCATTTCGGCACACCGCTCACACGTTTCGTGCCCCCACAGGGAGTTCCACCGAAGGCCCAATGGCAGGCTTCGCATGCGTCTCCACTTCCATCTCGGCACATCTCTCACATGTGCCGTGGCCCCATTGGGAGCGCCAGCGAAGACGACACTCACAACGGCGGCACCCACGACTGCAGAAGGTTGGGCCCCCCGCCCGGCGAATTGCCAGGAGCCCTGCGCTGGCGAATTCCTCGGCGGACGCCGCGGTCATCTCGCCAAAATGATGACCAACTATGTCACAAGAAGAACCTCCAGAGGACCTCCACGACTCAAAGTGGGCCCAAAGGAAACCCACGATGGCTCCAAGAGGCCCCCAGAGGTCTTTCTTGTCACGATTGAGGCCTCGTAATTCCTGCTGGTAGAACTTTTCAAATCCTGGCGACTCGCCTGGGTAGGGATTCGTTTCTGGATGAGCTGGTGGGGATACCCACTAAAAGTCGTGTTGTGCTCAAGTGGGAAGCGGCGCTACAAATCCCACCAACGTTCTGGGCGCACGTGGTACAACGAGATTCCTATTCCCTCGTCCCTTCTCCTCCTCCTCCTCCTCCTCCTTCTCCTCCTCCTCCTCCACCCCTTCCCCCTCCCCCTCCCCTCCCCCCTCCCTTCCCCCTCCCCCTCCCCCTCCCCCACCTCCTCCTCCTCCTCTTCCTCCTCCTCCTCCTCCTCCTCCATCTCCTCCACTCCTCCCTCCTCCTCCTCCTCCTCCTCCTGCTCCTCCTCCTCCTCCTCCTCCTCCTCCTGCTCTTCTTCCTCCTCCCTGCGTTACACCCACCCGGTCGGCGTTTCGCGGCCCAATGGGGAGCCCCACCGAAGGCGCCAGTGGCAGGGTTCGCGCGGCGGCCTCGGGCCACTTCGGCGCACCCCTCAGTAGGATCGTGGCCCCACAGGGAACCCCACCGAAGGCTCCAGTGGCAGGGTTCGCACGGCGGCCCCGGGCCATTTCGGCACACCCCTCACGAGGATCGTGGCCCCATGGGAGCTCCACCGAAAGTCCTGGCGGCATGGTTCGCATGGCGGTTTCGGGCCATTTCGGTACACCCCTCACGAGGATCGTGGCCCCATGGGGAGCTCCATCGAAAGTGCCAACGGAAAGGGTTCGCATGGCGGCCTCGGGTCATTTCGGCACACCCCTCGCAAGGATCGTGGCCCCGTAGGGAGCCCCGCCGAAGGCCCGCGCGGCGGCCTGGGGCAATTTCGGCGCACCTTTCGCTCGTTCGCGCCCCCGCGCGGAGCTCCACCAAAGGCGCCATTGGCAAGGTTCGCACGGCGGCCTCGGGCCAGGGTTCGCACGGCGGCCTCGGGCCATTTCGGCGCAGCCTCACGAGGATCGTGGCCCCGTAGGGAGCTCCACCGAAGGCCCCGATGGCAGGGTTTGCGCGGCGGCCTCGGGCCGTTTCGGCACACCCCTCGCGAGGGTCGTGGCCCCACAAAAACTCCGCCGAAGGCGCCAGTGGCATGGCTCGCATGGCGGCCTCGTGCCATTGCGGCACACCCCTCACTAGGATCGTGGCCCCATACTTGTGCTGCCTCAACAACCGCTCCTGGGCGTCGTACTCGGCCCTGTCGACGTGCAACGCCACCTCCCCCCTCATGGCTCTCAAAGCCCTCTCCTGCTTCTGCTCCTCGGTCAGAAGGGGCGCCGTCCTTGTCGTCGTCGGCGCCCGCAAATACGGCCACGAACGTGTGCCTGAGCATGTCGGGCTCCAGCGGGAAGCCGTGGCCACATAGGGAACGCGGGCGAAGATGGCATTCACACTTGCGGTACCCACGAATGCGTATGGTTGGGTCCCTCGCAAAATTCATGTGGGGAATTTCGCGAAGTGTCAGGGCGTCCAAAACGGCCTCGGCGAGGAAACCAACATCACTGGTTGTACCAAGGTCTTGGCCCCATGTTGGCCTCTTTGGGGAAGGCTGAACGTTATACCATCTGATGGCCGTCAAAATGGCCCCAAGAGGCCTTCCAGGGCTCCAAAGAGGGCTCCCAGAGAGCCCCAAGAGGGCCCCAAGACGGCCCCACGACCCCTGAAAGAGCCCCAAGAGAGCCCCAATACCCTCCCAACGAGCCCCAGGAGAGCTCCAAATTCGTATTATTGGGGCCCCTGGGAAGGGGCCGAAATCGAGGACCCCCCATCTCTTGATCGATGCTCTCCTAGATGGCCGCAACTCTTTCTCCTCCGCTTCCCCCCGCCCCCAGGGATGGCCCGAAGAGGCCTTCCAAGGCCACCCACTTGCTCCCATAGATCTCTCAGTTCATCCTGGTTGCTCGCTTTGTTTCCCTGGATGTGTCCCTTCGTCCCTTTTCCCGTGAGCTCTCGTGGGCAGGGCTTCTGAATGGGCTGGTGGGGATTCTTTTTGATCGCGACCGCGGCGAAGAAAGTTCGGGTGGCGTCCAGGGAATTGCAAACTAGCATCGGCCTAAATTTGCGCAAATGAAAAGGAAGCGAACAGAAAATAACAACAACGAACGGGTGGGGATACTTTTTTTTGATCTGCGGCCCGCAAAGAAGAGTCCAGAGGGCGTGTCAACAACTGGTGGGGATACGCGAAGCGTATAGAATACGGTCATCGGAATAATGGTAGCGTACAGCTGACACGCGTCTATCGCAAACTCCTCTGGGGCGATCTGAACGTGCCGCTTGCCAACTGAGATGACAGTTACAATCACAACATGCACGGACCCCGCGAGTCCGACTGCATGCAGGCCGAATCAAGGCATCCACCAAGGGAGCTGCTAAAAGCAGCATTCGAGCTAGGAAGGCGCACAGCGGCGCTGATTCCGCGCCCACATGGCACGATGTCAGAAAGCACATGGAGAGTGGCCCTCATGTGCCGTCTGAGCGGCGCAGAACCGCACGACGTCTGACCGAAGATGTGGCCGCGGGAACAAAGAATGCATCGAATGTGTGTGTTGCCCGGGGGAAGTGGCGTACGTACTCAACCAAACGCGCGTGACTGACTGTTGACGTAACTGAACGGAGCCGGTCTCCGCGAAAGAAAGTGGGCTGGGTTCTGTGAGCTGATGTCGTCGCCCACCACTTGGCACACTCTCGCAAAACCCAACACAAAGACGGTGCCCCCCCCCGTCCACCTCCCTCGTCCCGGTCCCTTTCCTTCTGCCCGCCTCCCTTCTCCTCCCTCACTCCCCTCTCCCCTCCCTCCCTCCTGTCGTACCTCTCCCCTCCGTGCGTACCCAGCGCCGCGCAGCTTTTATTTCGCCTCGGCTGCAAAAAAAACCCTTGCCACTTCTGTGGGCCGGCACTGCAGGATCGGCTGTGTCACGGGCAGCGCCGAAGCAGGAAGCACAGGCGAAGATCAAGTCGTCGACGACCACGCCAGTAGATTCTGATACCTTGTGATGCAAAAGCGGTAATGGATGTACAGAGGCGGGGTGATCGTTCACGGGCTGCCTGGGTTTAGCCAGTCAGCTCTCCAGACCTCCTGATTCCCTTCGGGGAGAGAGATGTACCTCTCCTACCCTCTCTCCATGGGTCTGGGGGGGGCATTTCGCGAGGGGGTGGAGCGCCCAAGATGGCCCAATACCAAGAGGGCCTCCAAGATCGCACAAAACAGCAAAAAATTGCCCAATCTCGTTTCCAACATGCCTCCAAGAGGCACCCAAACCACCCGCTGACGGCGCCGTGTGGCCACGCAGACTCCCAACACAAATCCCGAGAGGCCAAATTCCTTCCAACATCCCGAACAAAAAATCGTGCGCGCTGGCTACTCGCATTTTCGCTCAGTGGGCTCTTGAGGCCTCAGGTTGGCTCCAGGATGGCCCAATAAAACCCCAAGAGGGCAAGAGGCAGCCCCAGGAGCGTCGACATGCCCCTTAAGACAGCCCCGAAGAGGCAATTGTTCGGCCTGCGACAGGCGAAAGACCAACGTACGACGCCCTTCTTTTTGATCGATGGCCCCCCAGGTGGCCTCAATAGGTTCATGAAGGCTCCCACGAGGGCCACAAGAGGGTCCTAACAAGGCCCCACGAGGGCCTAGACGGCCCCAAGATGCCTCCAAGAGGCTCCCAGATCGTGACTGCATGCTGCTGCACTGCCCTGATCAGGGCAATTGCCCAGGCCACTGTTTTGGATGGGCTGATTGGGATTTTTGTTGTCGCAACCGCAGGCGAGGGCGCCAGCGGCGAGTCGAGTCAGCTCGGGCTTTGAGCGGAACTAATTGCCGGCGCGCGCGCAGACACCGACGAACCTATCGCCGGGGGAAGCTGCTGCGCCGAGGGCAAATGCTGCAACCGCCGAGGGATGCGAGGCAGTGCCGTGGGCGGGGACTGCAAGCTGCTGGGGCTGCAAGGAAGCTGCAACGTGCGGGTAACCCAGGGTCGTGACCACCAGGTACGTGAATTGGACCTTGTCGCCACCAGGCGCCAGAGGTCGGCGCGTCACAGACGTGGCGAAGCGCAGGGCTGTGTAACAGTCCAGCGTGCAGGCAGCAGACCGACGGGGGAGCACGCATGGTCGTTCAAGAAGGCTGAACCACTCCTGAGTGAACCGGCGATCCGAAAACCTATAGGGCCAGCAGCACCGACAGACACGGCCAGCTGTGGCGGTGACTGGGGACCAGATGCCAGGAGAGTGCAAGCACTCGTGCCGGAACTGGTCAGGATGCACGTCCCCTGAGCGCCAGGGTGCCACACCCGACTCCACGGAACCAGATGGGTGTCAAGCGCGAGGGACAGAGCGGGGTCGCAAGCACCGAGAGCGGCGGTAACTGGAGCCCAGGAGCCCGAGACAAGACGCGTGAGTCGGAGACGTCACGAAAGAGGGGCCAGTGCCAGGGATACCGAGCCAGGCCGTGGCCAGGTCTGGGCAAAGGCCAGGACGAAAACAACTACAACCAACGGCTGGGGACGAGAGGCACGCAGCGCCCCGCCCCAGCAGAGGCCCACGTACCCGGTATTGACAGCACCTGGGGGCCGGGTCCCCAAGGGCGGGGAGGCCGAGCCAGGTGCCGTGCTGTGGCCAACATAGGACGACACTAGACTAGCAGCGGGGGGGCTGTAACTCGCTGCGGCCAGGTGCAGGCTAATTGGGATACGCAAAGCGTCACGAACTTGTCATGCCTTGTAGTGCGAAACTGGCGACGATTGTACATAAGCAGGGCAATCATGCACGCGCTGCTTAATCATATGATGAGGCTGGCGCGCTCGCCCAAAACACTCTGCTCAACTGATGAGTTGTATCTTGCCGAGGGGGCAATTCAATGGTCAAAATAGAAGTCGCCAACCGCGAGCGTCTCACCCACCCACTCGCAACATGCTGAAAACTCAGCTGGGCGACGACAACGATGATGACGATGACCATGATGATGTTCACGACGACTACGGGGACGATGCCCAAGACGACGATGGTGATGGGGTTGATGGTGATGATAATGACGGCTACGATGAGGATACAGATGATGATGACGACGATGGTTTCGGTAAGAATAGTGCTGAGTGTGCGCGCAGACACTTTTCGAGGGTGACTATATCGACAATGCTGATGATGACGACGGTGATGATGATGCTGCTGCTGATGGCGATTATGAGGATGAGTATGATGATTATGATGATGATGATGATGACGATGATGGTGACGGCGATGGTGGTATTGGCACTGGCAATGAGAAAGCTGGCGATAATGATGAAGAGCAGTACTGACGAGGATGATGAGGAAGCGCGTGCGCGCAGAAACTCCGAAGTCCTGATATAAAAACACCAAGGGTGTCGTGCACTGTTTGGGAAGCAATGGTTGTGGAGGCTCGCGGCGTTAGTTCGGATGTTTGGGGAGCAGTATTTCGTGCGACGCTTGGGAAGCTACTATTTTTACGCAGGGAAGCCAGGGCACCCTGGAGGCAAGCAGGATGTCTCTTGGCATGGGTTTTCACTGCACCGTCACGTGGCAACAAGGCCAAAGACGCGACAATGTCGTATGGACCCAACGAGTGCGTGCGCAGAACACGGTGGACTCGGAACAGCTTTCGCCGTCGCGCTGCCACAGAGCACGCCACATAAGAAACGACGGGGACTGTTCCTGACCAGGGCGAGCCTCGGCCAAAAAAAATAGGCCCCCCGACCTGGATCGGAGGAATGGCCTGAAGTGGACAGCCCCCGAAGAGCTCCGAGTAGTCCTCATCTCCGCGTCTTGACTGCAGCCGTGTATTGGAAAGGTGGGAACGTCAACAGTCGTTCAGTGCGAGCGGCGGCGCGCGCATGTGCCCGCAAGGTAGTTGTATGGCAGCACGTGCGCCGCATGGTTTTCGTCACCGTGCCCAGAGGCACGAGTTGGAATGACCTCAGGTCCCTGGCCTATATCACTGACGCCTCCGTCCTCAATCCTGAGGAGTCCCGAAGGGCCCATACCCCGAGCTCTCAAATCTGCTTGGGGCCGCCCACAGGACTGACTCGGGGCTACGAGGGCCCCAAGACGGGCCAAGAGGGCCCCAAGAGGCCGCCCAGACGATCCAAGGGCGCCCCGAATCGCCGCACGATCGGTCCAATACGCCCAAGATGGCCCCGAGACGGCCCAACGAGCCTTCGAGACGACACGAGAGCCCCAAGAGCCTTCCCAAGATGGCTCCGACAGGCCAAAAGCATTGATCTTCATTGGGTATTTCGATGCTTTTTAGGTTATCCACTTTTCGAGCGTCCGACGCTCTGATGGGCCCCCCAAGACCGCCCCAAGACGGCCCTCAGAGGCCACAGGGAGGGCGTGACGACGGCCCATACGGGCCCCCAGACGGCTCGAGAGGGGGGCCCAAGAGAGGGCGCACGAACCGAAAATCCGGACCTTCTGCCCCAAGCGGGCCCCAAGAGGCTCCGCGAGAGGCCCCAACATGCACCCCAAAGAGGCCCCGGAAAGGCCCCAAAGAGGCCCCCCAAAACAGCCCCCCAGAGGCTTGGAGGACGACCTAGATGCAGGAGCACCCAGTTCCAATGTCGCCGCCCGAGGCTCCCATGACCAGACATCGAAGATACTGGAGGAAGGTGGCACTGGCGGCGCGCAGAGGGGGGTAGGGGGAGGGGGGAAGGCTTCTTGGAAGAAGGCTGCTTCGTACAAGGCGCTGGCCTCACATCTACAGACACGGCCGGCGCCTTCTAAGAAGCGGGGGAGCTTCTAAAAAGCCTTACCCCATCTCCCTATCCGTAGGTCGGGCATGTCCTCCTACAGGCGGATTTTGGGCGAGAAAAAAACATACTCAACAAATGCCAACAAATGATCAAGAATACAAACAAATCATCCCCAAAGTATTTTTGGACTATTTGAACATTCCGCCTGTAGAGGGACGTGACCGACTTAACCCTACCCCTCCTTTGCGCGTGGCCGACGGCAGGAGGAACAGCAGCAGCAGCAGCAGCAGCAGCAGCAGCAGCAGCCTCCTGCTACTCCTCCTCCTCATCCTCCTCCTCGTCCTCCTCCTCGTCCCCCTCCCCCTCCTCTTCCTCCTCCTCCTCCCCGTCCTCCTCCTCCTTTTCCTCCCCCCCCCCTCCTCCTCTCCTCCTCCTCCTCCTCCTCCTCCTCCTCCTCCTCCTCCTCCTCCTCCCCCTCCTCCTCTTCCTCCTCCTCCTCCTCCTCCTCCTCCTCCTCCCCCTCCTCCTCCTCCTCCTCCTCATCCTCCTCCTCCTCCTCCTCCTCCTCCTCCTCCTCCTCCTCCTTCCTCCTCCTCCCTCCTCCTTCCTCCTCCCCCTCCTCCTCCTCCCCCTTCCTCCTCCTCCTCCTCCGATTCCTCGCCCCTTGCACGTGGCCGACGGCAGCGGGAGGAGCAGCCGCACCCAAGGGCAAGAGGGCGGCCCCGCCGCCCGCGCGCACGGCGGCGCCCGGCCGCCCCCCCCGCCGCGCGGGCGCCCCCTCCGCCTCAGCGCGGCAGGAAGGGCTCCTGGCGCGCACGGGCAGGCAGCCCCAGCCCTGAGGCTCCCCCTGACGAGCGAACAACACACACACACACCCATACCCATAAGGAGGTCGCTGGGAGGAGGAATGGCTGTTGGTATGGGTGCGGGTTGTCGGGCCCAGGGAACGCTCCCGTTCGAGCGGGGCCCCCCATCCGACAACACGCACCCGTAGCCCTATGCGACCCCTATGGGTATAGATGTGTGTTGGTTCGTCACCCCCGGGATCCCGCGTCACGATATCAAACGTCGAGACGGCGGCTGGAAGCCCCCTGCATCCCCAGGCCGGTTTTCCCGCCCGGGGCAGAAATATGATAACACCGATGGATCCAATTGGGTCATTTTTTCTGGGTGCGCGACAACGACGTGGATGCTATTTTTGGCTTGCGCGGATCTATGTTCCTGTGTGTGAATAATCACTGGACCCACGCATTCTCCCCAAATAAATATAGTCATTACTAAGCCGGACCCATGGATATGGGATCCACGGGGCACCGCGCGTGAAGTATCATGCTATCCACGGAACTGCGGATCTGCGGACAAAAGCTATGATTCCACAAGGGAAGGGGGGATTCCCAGGACGGAAGGGGAAAGGAAGAGGGAAGAGGCACGGAGAGAGGGGACACATGTATCCGCTCACTTGAACGGAGCGTCGGTTCCGACGTTTGGAGCTCAAGGAGGGAATCTGTCGGCTTGCGTAAGTGGGATGTCGAACTGCGTCTTTTCCTGTGCCGCCGCCGCCCCTGCGTGCAAATGCGAGTGGGGTGCCGAATACGCCATAGGGATTTTGATTTGCGTCTGTCCCACTAATGCACCTTTTTTTCCGTGATGCGAGGCGAATGTGTTGTGCCAGCGCCACCCCTGCGCGCAAGTTCGAGAGGGGCGCCGACACCTTCAGTGGGATTTCGAATTGCGTCTCCACCACGATCACCATGCATTTGTTCCATGATGTGTGGTGAGTGTGTTGTGCCACTGCCGCCCCTGCGTGCAAGTGCGCGAGGGGTGCCGAATACGGCAGCGGGGTGTCGTAACTGCGTGTCGCCCACTAACACCAGGCACTCCTTCCGTAATGTGTGGTGACTCTGTTGTGCCGCCGCCGTCCTTGCGTGCAAGTGCGAGAGGGGCGCCGAAACATTCATCCCCAGGTCGCAAATTTTCCCTATTCGATAAAAAACAAAAGAACACCGACAGACCCAATTGGATCCCTTGTCGGGTGTGCGACAGCGTCGTGGATCCTACTTTTGGCTTGCGCGGACCCATTTTCCAGTGCGTGAACCATCAATGGGCTCATTTGGTTTCCCGGGGTATATATGTACATGTATGTATATATGTATGTATATATGTGTATATGTATATATATATATATATATATATATATATATATATATATATCATAACAGTTACCATCGTGAACCCGGGGGGGCTGGGACCCGCGGGGCACCGCGCGTGAAGCACTTGCTGACCAGATCTATGATTATACCGGGGAGGGGGGTGTTCCCAGGACGGATCGTGCAGGGAGTGGGGGGGAGGCGCGAGGAAAGGGGTACATGTATCCGCTATCATGAACGGCGCGTCGTTTCCGACATTAGGGGTTCAAGAGGAACACGGATTGTTTCGCGCAAGCGGGATTTCGAACTGCCAAGCCGAAAGTTTAAACCTTTTGGACAAAAATGTGGAAACGCCGATGGATCCAATTGGATCGTTTTTTTTTTCGGGTGTGCGACAACGTCGTGGATCCTATTTCGGGCTTGCGCGGATTCATTTTCCTGTGTGAACAACCAATCGACCCATGCAGTTTCCCGGAATGAACATATAACGATACAAGCAACAATACATCCCGGACCCTGGGGACATGGGATCCGTGAGGCACCGCACGTGAAGCATCATGCTATCCGAGGAACTGCGGATCTGCTGACCAGAGCTATGATTCTACGGGGGAGGGGAATATTCCCAGGCCGGATAGTTCAAGGAGGAGGGAGGAGGCACGAAGAGGGTGGCACATGTATCCAGACACCTAAACGGCACGTCGCTTCCGACATGTGGCGCTCAACGGGAAATCTTCCGGCTTGCGCAGGTGGGATTTCGAACGGCGTCTCTCCCAATAACACAGTGTTGTTTCCATGATGTGTTGTGAGTGCGTGGTGCCACCGCTGCCCGCGCGTGCAAGTGCGAGAGGGGTGCCGAATACGTCAGCGGGATTCCGAGATGCGTCTCTCACGCTAACACCATGCACTCTTGCCGTGATGTATGGTGAATGCGTTGCGCCACCGCCACCCCTGCGTGCAAGTGCGAGAGGGATGCCTAATCCTTCATCCCTGGGCCGAAAGTGTTTTCCTCTTGGACTTAAGATATGGGAACGCTGATGGATCCAATTGGACCCTTTTTTTTCGGGTGTGCGACAGCGTCGTGGATCCTATTTCTGGCTTGCGCGGATCAATTTTCCTGCGTGTGAAAAACCAACGGATCCATTTATTTGCACTGCATATATATATATATATATATATGATAATCAACATCCCAGGGTTGAATGGGATCCGCGGGGCACCGCACGTGAAGCATCATGCTATCCACAGAACTGTGGATCTGCTGAACAGAGCTATGATTCTAGTGGGGACGGGGGTATTCCGAGGACGGCTAGTGCAAGGAGGAGGGAGGAGGCACGAAGACCGGTATCCTCCGACCCCGTCTACTCGGACCCTATCTAGGAGGCCTCGAACGGTGTTGCATCGTTTTGGGCCTGTCTGGGCCCTCGCCAAGCCTCGGGAACGTCAGAAGTCTCTCGGGGTGAGAAATCGGTTCCAGGGGAGTGGCCGATATGCAGCCCACAAAGGACGTGCGCGCCGAAACCACGTACAGGAGCACGGCCCCCGAGTCCGCGAGACCAGCCGCGTGATACGAACGCTCGAGCTATGCGTACTCTCGAAACCAACGTTGACGACCTACCAGACCAACCCAACCTTAACCCGAAGACCCGAATTTCGGGTTTGGGGGGGGCAGGTTCAGTATGTATGTTTTCCATGTTCCCTGGAAATGGAGGGCAAATTGAAGCCTTCGGATTGGGTTGAGGCGGTTCGGTGGGTGGTGATACGTGCACTCACGTACGTGTACGTCCCTTTCTTCGCTCCCGAGTCGAAGGGTGGGTGGGGTACGCTTCTCGACGACATCCAGACGCCGAATGTCTTGGAACAAGTGCAAATGGAGGTGCTTCGCCGCGCCCGACCTCCATGGGCCATTTCCCGGTCCCGGAACCTTCAAAACCACCTCAGGACGAAAAGCCACTCCTGGGGGAGTGGTGTAGAAAAAGGCCTCCGCGACGATAAAATGACATGAATGTATATGTATAGACGTATGTGTGTATATAAACATATATATATATATATATATATATATGAGATGTAAAACAACACCCTGACGTTTGAGGTAGGTGCTCAACTGAAGAACTTGTTATTGGTGAGCACGAGCTCTCTTGGTCGAAGCTACTGGAGACGGATCAGTCAGTACCTCTTCCAAACTCATGCGTAGAGTCGACACCCTCGGTTCACAAGAGGCTCGAAGCATACGGGCACGATCAACGCTCATCCGCTTGAGCGTAAGTTATCAGGCCCGACTTAAAAGTCACCCGAGGACCAAGGTCCAGAAACCCTCTGGCAACTCATACTCGAGACGTAGACCTTCTTGTAGCCGATGGTGTCGCAGACATTCGGCACAACAAAGAACCACAATGTTTGCACGCTGCACCCGTACGCCTGCGCGTCTCGGACGTCACAGCTCCGTTTTTGAACATACTGAGTAGTGTGCAGTCGCTTCCCTCGAGGTCATTGACCCTTTTTCGAGAGAGTCGTAGGATAATAATAAGGAGCCCACGAAAGACGTACGCGCCCAGCTATGTACATGAACACGGCCACTTGACCCGCGAGACCGGCCGCGTGATACGAATATTCGCGCAATGCGAACTCTCGAAACCAGCGTGGATTCAGATACGTGTACGTCCTTCTTTCGCTCCTGAAAGAATTGTCGACATCAGCGTCATCCTCTTTCTCGCCGTCGTGGCGAGCCCGCTGGACCAACTGCAGACAACGGTACCTCGCAATCGCTTTCACGGCATGCCGGGCCGCCGTCGACGCACACAAAACGTCTCCACCGATCGCTCCACCGAGCGACGAGCAGAAGCTGAACAGCTTTGTGTACACGGTGATCGTTTGCTGGACCAGCTTTAAGGAGGACGAGTGGGAGGAAGAGCAGCAGCAGCAGGACGAGGGCGACGACCAGGGCAGGGTACTCCGCGCGCGGCGAAAATATAGGCGGGCAATCGCGGGCCAGCGAGGACGGTTCCGGTGCCCGGGTGCCCGGGGGGTGCCCAGGGGTGCCCGGGTGCCCGGGTGCCCGAGTGCCCGGGTGCCCGGGCGTGCCCGGGGGGTGCCCTATAGCCCCATAGTCCTAAGCCCTATAGCCCTATTGCCCTATAGCCCAATAGCCCTACAACTCTATAGCCCTATAGCTCTATAGCCCTATAGCTCAATAGCCCTATAGCCCCCTAGCCATATAGCCCTGATTGGGTTTTTTCCCTGGTATGATTTGGACTATTTTTGGATATTCCCCATGTAGAGGGACAGGCCCGACTTAAAACTACATGGATGGACGGAGGGCCGGTTGAAAATGGGGTTGCCGCTTTCATGCCGCGCACGTCCGTGCTACAATACGGCAACAACTGCAACTGGCCATCGCTCGAACGTGCATTCCCTGCCTTTTTCATTGGTTTCGTGCGCGTTTTTCTTCGCAGGATGATCCAGGATGCTCCTTAATAATCCCCGCCGAGAAAAAGTGCACACGTCCGAGCGATACCAAGGCAAGGATGGAGCGCTGGTCGTGTTCGAGATGAGGCTCTCGCTTCAGCATGGCGCAAGCTCGTCCTCAAGGCTTGCAGCAGCTGCAGGGGGGAGCGCGCCTTCAGCACGTGCAGCACTGCAGGTTGTCGAGGGCGGCCCTTCTTCCAAACGGAGCCATCGTTTGAGACTCCCTCGAAGCTGAGTCCGTGCCAACACGTGTAGACTTGCGCAGCACTTCCACGGATGGGGGGGGCGGCCCTATTCTTCGAAGGGGGGAGCTCGCTGGACGGCCTGAACCGCACAGTGGGTGCTGCCACATCCCGGAATGCGCGCCAAAAACCGTTCGAGGCAACTAGCGTTCCTGGCGCGCGGGGCGCGCCATGGGCGGCGCCGGAGGCGCCGCCAGGGGGGTCCAATGCAGATCCCCAAAAATCCGCGCGCACCATCGAACATCTATGGTTATGCAGTCCACGTAGATGTCCTTATTCGAGTCGTGCATCCTCCTCCTCCTCCTCCTCCACCTCCCCTGCAGGGACAGAGAAGCCCCAGTCCTGCAGTCTGGCGACGTCCCTCGCGGCGTCCTGCGGCGGAGGGGAGATGGAGTTGGGGGGGCGGGGGAGAGGCAGCAGCTAGCTCAAGGAGGTAAGAGAGGGAGGGTCTGAGGGGCCATTTTGGTCCATTGGCTGGCGGGCGTTTACTTCGTAAAAGCTGGTATTAAAATTACACCCGAGAAAACCAAAATCAGAGGATTGCTGAATTTTCCGGGGGTGCATCAATCGGCCTTCCTCTGCCCTAGTTTAATTCGAGTGTATGCTCTAGTCCGGGCTCTTTTGTTTTTGTTTTGTTATATATGCTATATTTTTGATTGTTATTGTTTTTACCCCGGGCTCTCACCGACGGGGCCCAGGGACACACGGAGAGACACATGCACATTCCAAGGATGTCGCACATTTTTCTATATGTATTTTCTGGGTTTTCGTCTTCCCCCCCCCACACTTCCCGTAGTTTTCCATATTCCCATGGGGATGAGCGATTACTTGTGTCTGTATGTTTTATTTCCTTCCTGAAGGGTGGATCTCTCATCGCCTGGCCGAGTGAGCTGTCCAGGAAGAGGGGGGAACAGCACGAGGGAGGGAGGGAGGAAGGGGAGAAACGCCGGAGAGAGCGAGGCGAAACTGGGCTGGGAGCGTGAGTTCGAGGAGGAACATCGGGGAGGAGAGAGGGGGGGGAAGACACGATAGGTGCGCTCGCGCCATATCTGACATCCGACCTTGAGTAGGGCTGGGGGGTCAGGTCTGCAGAACAAGCTGAACTTCGTGCACCACACCCGGCGTCAAGCCAAAACTTTGGATATAAGCGAATGCGCGGGCTTTGCGCATCTCCGTCGGCTTCACAGGCGAGGCGTATGACAACCTTGACGTCTCTTGTTTGGTGGTCCCGCAGAGGAAGGCGCTCTCTGACCCTCGTCCCTACTCAAATCCTGCCCCTCCCACTCGCCCCCTTCCATTGCGCTTGTGCATCTCGATCCGCAGACGCGTGGTCTGGCGAACCAGCAGCTGCCAAACACAGACGTATCGTGTTGCGCGTAATCGGAAAAGGGGAAGGAGGATGGGGAGGAGGAAGGGGGAGGAGGAAGGGGAGGACCCGGGGAGGAGGAAGGGGTGGAGGATGGGGAGGATGGGGGGGCTGCGCACACAGGAGGAAGGGGAGGAGGATGGGCTGGCGGATGAACAGGAGGATGAGCAGGCGGAGAAGGAGGAGGAGAAAGAGGAGAAGGAGGCAGGAGCTGAGCGGAGCTGAATCTCGTGGGGTCCCTGCCTGAACGTAGGCCAGGAGGAGGCAGGAGGAGGAGAGGGACGACGATGACGACCAGAAGCAGCGGGAGCGGGAGCGGAGGGAGCGGGATGGGCAGGAGGACCACAGGGGAAGGCGGAGGAAAGGAGCCGCTGGGGGAGACAGCGACGAGGAGGGACTCGGATCCAGCAGAGTGCTCCTGGATAGGGGCGAGAGCGGCATGCCGGAACGGCGAGGGCAAAGCGCCGATCCTGAACTTGGGCCAGCGCCGCAGCGGCTGCATGATTTCGAGGCACCGAGGCCGTTCCGATTGGAGGAACCACAGGAGAGACCAGATCCTGAAGTCCAGTGTGGTAACAAGACGCGGAGGGGGGGGCGGGCTTCTCCCTGCCCATCTTCGAGGGAGAGAGGAGAGCAGTAAACATGTTGAACAAGTCTGAAGGGCTGTCGAAGGGGGGGTGCAGAAAAAGCAGCCGGTACGGGAAGAACGAGGACGAGGAGGAGCGAACGTCTCGTCAGCAGCAGCAAAGGGAAGCACCACCACCACGGGCAGCACGCAATAACAAAAAGGAAGGGCGCGCCCTTGCTGGCTGAAGTGGCCACGGCTCGCTGCCGCCACCCTTCAAGTGCTGGATGAACATCTTGCTGTCGTGCTTCCGCTTCCGCAGCCTGGCCCGCGGGATCCGATTCATCCCGCCTGCGCCCGCCGCCACCGCCACGGCTCCCACGAGGTGCGGAGGTCCTCATCCACCCGCTCGCTGGCGCCCTCCTGCTCCTCGCCAATCGTCTCTCCAGGCAGGGCCGGAACCACTGCAGGCGCTGGCGACTCAAACGCGACATGCTGCTTCGCCCTCAAGACGCGCTGCGCCGGTCGGCGCCGAAACGTGCGTGCTCCAGCTGCTCCTCATCCGCCCGCCTGTCCCCTTGTGCTTACCAGCCTGGATTATATCCCTATCCCTATGCTGGGCACCTCTTCATCACGATGCCAATCTTAGGGATTCCCTTATTTTTTGAGGGCGAGTCCCTAAGATTGTCATCGCCTTTGGGCGTGTCAATTTTAGGGATAGGGATACGTGAGAGGCTGGTAATTGTGCGCCCCCTCCGCGTCCTACCTCTCTCCGCCTCCTCGCGGGACGGAGCCCTCGAGGTCGACGCGAGGCGTGCAGCTGTCGCCGGGGTAGCCGGCAGGCGGCAAGCGAGCAACAGAAGAGGGGCGACATGGGCGAGGAAGAGCAGGAAGGAGAGGACGGGCCAGAGGAGGAAGAGGAGGAGCAGGAGGAGAAGGAGGAGGAGCAGGAGGAGGACCAGTGTAAGCCCAAAAGTCACAAAAGATGTTGGAATCAACCCTCCCTCCAAGCTCCCTCTGCATAGGTCCCTACAACGTCTCAGTGCCATTCAGGGAATTGCCTCGTTGGAAGACAACCGTTTGAAAACCCTGAACCATGCCAAGACATTGTTCTCGGGATTCCAACGCCACATATCAACTGACTGTTACGTTGTGGCGATCCTGGATCGTGCCAGAACGCCATTCTTGGGGCTTCAACACCGCGAGCGAACGTAACTGTTGCACCCTCATAATCCTGAATCCTTCCAGAACAACATTTCTGGTATTTCGATCAGCAGACTCCGTGAAACTCTTGCACATGTTTAAAACGACTGTGCGCGGCGTAAATGCGGGAACCATAAAAAAAGAACCGCCCTCAATCCGAGCCGACCTCAATCGGTGAAGCTCTTGTAAACGTTGGAATAGGATGCGCGCGACGCTAATGCAATAATCACTAACCACAATTCGAAAACGGGTTCCCCTCAATTCGCAAAACGCTTGCAATGTGTCAAAGCGAATGCGCGCGGCGCTCAAGAGAAAACCGCATTTTGAAAACCACCCGCGTTCAACCCGTAGAAAACTTGCAATATGTTACAACGAATGTGCGCGGCGCTCAAACGACAGCCACCTTTTGAAAACCACCTGCCCTCCATCTGTAAATCTGTTGTCGATGTTTAATCTTGCCCGGCCCGCCCTACGAAGTGGGTTCGGGGGGTGCGCCGGGGAACAATGACTTACAAGGAAAATGAATGGAGGAGGGGGAAGGAGGAGGATGAAGAGGAGGAGGAGGAGGAGGAGGATGAGGAGGAGGAGGAAGGCGGGGAAGACGAGGAGGGTGGGGGAGGGAAAGGGGGGAGAGGGGCGAGCTGCAGGATAGAAGGAGGCAAGAGGCAGGGGCAGGAGAGGGCAGGCGGGCGGAGGCGTGGTTTAAACCAGGGGAGGGGCCGACGAGCGGCAGCGGAGGGGGGCGAGGGCATGCAGCGGCAGCAGGATGGGAGGTGGGGAGGAGGGAGAGGAGGAGGAGGAGGAGGAGGAGGAGGAGGAGGAGGAGGAGGAGGAGGAGGAGGAGGAGCAGGATGAGGAGGAGGAGGAGGAGGGGGACGAGGGAGGAGGAGGACGGAGGAGGAGGAGGAGGACGAGGAGGAGGAGGAGGAGGATTCGATTCGCACACCTTCCGCGCCAATATCCCCTTCTTCCTCGAGTGCTCTACCCTGCGATGCTGACTGATCAAAAGCGCGCAACCAATAGCGTACAGCATGCATGGCTCCTGGATGGCTCTGGCGCGGTGAACCTCGGACTGTAGGAGGAGAGTTCTCAGGCCATGCCCTATGCACGGGGGCCGCAGCTAGGGCCTCGAGATGGGCCCAGCCTGGCCCTTGCAACCAATGACGCGTGAAGTAGCCAGAGGGAGCTTGAAACTAGGTCGTACTAGCCTTCTCCTGGGCCATTCGAAGAACATGTTTACTCATAACAATATTTTTCAATCGGGGCGGACCTTGGGCAAATCCCACACGACACAACATGTTCCGTGACTACGTGTGCGTCTGTCAGGAAGGAGGAGGTCGGAGGTCTCGGGGACGGGGGAGGCTGGTTCGCACACGATGGGGATTCGGCAGGGTACAGGATGACGGGAGGGGGGGGTCCGAGGTCTCGAAGAGGATGGGATCTGACTGGGCATGCTGACAGAGGCCCCAGAGTGGCTCACGACATGTTGGCTCAGAAAGTCCTCGCGTTCCTCGTTCTTGAATGGTTTGTTCGCATCTAGGCATTAGATCTCCGAATCCGACAGGGCCCCGTCCAGCTCAGCAGCGTCTCCTGGAAGGTTTGCACCACGCGTTCCATGTACGATGTTGGGGCCCTGCCGGATTTCCTCTTGACCCCCTCTACCTGCATCGTGGCCTCCACCATAATTTTCCGAAGGATGGGGTCCCTGACGGCCATCGTGACCCTGCGCGAGTCCTTATGACAAATTTTGTCTTGGCGGCAGAACATCACGAGCTCGCACTAACTTCTGTGGCACTGAATAGTATCCGTACTCCCCGAACGCCGTGCAGAGCTCTTTGGCCGTCTTGGCTCCGACTGCGTCTCCTAATCCGACCAGAGCTTTCATCAGACCTCCCATGGCCCAGATGTACGGGGGCCCAGAGTGTGATGTTTTCCCCTGGCCTTTACCTGGTCGGCGTAGGCGGAGGTATGCTAGCTCATGTTGGTGACGTGAGCGTGGTCCGCGGGAACGATGAACGCGTCGAGAACCACACCTGCCAGGTTTCGCTGTGTCTGGGAGAGATTCAAAAGTAGTTTCATAATGAGACGCAAAACCTTGTTGGTCGGATCGTTGGCGGATATCTTCAGGGCCTCGGAGGTTTTCTTGGCATCTTCTTCCAGCGTAATATTCGTCTTCTTGGGGTCCTTCGGATTGCCGTCTCGGCTTCCAGATCCGCCCTGCGTGCCGGCCTCCAGGAGAGCTGGCACAATGTAGCTTGGGTAGCGGCTGGGGAAATGCGAATCACAAACGTGTCGCTGCAACTGGAGACTCAAATCAAAGACTACGGAGCAGATTGAACATGTCCACTCCTCGCGGTTAGCTGGTTCCCGAGACATGAGAGCACGGCCAAAGACACATCGACCATATCCGTAATAATGCTCAAGATGTTTGCGAGTTTTGTATCCATATCTGGAGTAGCCCAGACAGTTAGGGCATTGATCAGTAGTGACGCGTGTACGTAGAACATATGTCATCTTGTGCCCATTAGTCTGGTGGCCCATGGAGACCCTGCAGGTGCCGAACATGGGGTCCCGTCAGAGGCCTCGATGGTACACGTATAAATAGAGGAGGAGAAGGCGGAGGTGGTGGGAGGAGGAGGAGGAGGACGAGGAGGAGGGAGGAGGTGGAGGAGGAGGAGGAGGAGGAGGAGGAGGGCGAGGGGGGGACGATACGAGGGGAGCGCAGGAGGAAGGAGCTGAAGCAAGGTGAAGGAGGGGGCGAGGAATAGGAGGCGGAGGGTGCAGAGAAGTGGAGGACGAGCAAGGCAAAGCTTGGACCGGCCTCCCCGGCCAGGACACGGCCGAACACAGCCAGCGGCACTCAATGCTGGGCCTCAGGTCAGCATCGCCCGAGTAGTAACGTTCATACGCAAGGAGCTACAAACCACAAGCTCCACCAGACTCTCTCACATACTCCTCGCCCTCTTCCTCCTCCTTCCCCACCCCCTCCTCCTCCTCCTCCTCCTCCTCCTCCTCCTCCTCCTCCTCCTCCTCCTCCTCCTACCACACCTCCTCCTCCTACTTCACCTCCTCGTCTTCCTCCTCGTCTTCCTCCTCCTCCTCCTCCTCCTCATCATCATCATCATCCTTCTCATCCCTCGCCCTCTCCTTGCCTGCCTCGCCCTCTCCTTCCCCCCCCCAGCCCTCCGTCATCCCCCGTCCCTCCCTTCCCACGCTCCCTCCCTCCCTGCCTTCTGTCTCCTTTCTTCATGATTCCTTCCCCTTCCCCCCCTCCAATCCCGCCAGCCCTATGGGCGTAGGGGGTCTAACAAGGGTTCTCACTTTTCTCGTCTGAAACCCTCTTTCCTCAGGGGAGGGTACCCTCCCCCTCCCCTCCCTGAAGTTTTGTTGTGGGCGGGGGAGGGACGCGAGGCATGAGAGTCCACGTTCGCACAAGATGGCTCCGAGAGGGCATCCGATGCTCCAAGACGGCCTCCCAGATGGCTCAAGGTAGACGACGTTCGCTTCAACCACGCTCCAAGAAGCCCCAGCGACCTCTCCAGGCCGGCCCCGAGTGCTCTCGGAGCCCCCTTCAGGGGACCTCCCCGAGCAGCCACAACCGCTCAAGCCGACGGGCAAATCAACGCCTTTTCGCTACAGTCGGGATTGATTTGATAGGACACGCGATAGAACGCAAGACCCTTCCGAAGGCCCCATTGCCATAGGAATGTAGGAGGCACGGGTGGCGACACACAGGGCACAAGGATACCCTTGATTGGCAAGGTCGACCTACTACTCGACCTCGACTGTACCAATTGCCTCTTGAGGCCCGAGGATTGCTCCAAGAATGGCCCGAGAGAGCCCAGATGGGGGACCACCGTGCCCTGCAGCCGGCGCCGGGCGCGCCCAAGATCGCCTCGCGGGCGCACCAAGAACGCCCCGAGAGACGCGTTGGAGGGCCCCACGGAGGGAGGGCCCCCCTCTTTTGATCGATGGCCTTCCTGATGGCCCCAGGAGGCCCTCCAGGGCTCCACAGGCGACCCAATGGCACCACCACCCCCAACGAGCCCATAAGGTCTCCCATGACGGCCCCGAGGCAGCCCCAGGGTGGCGCCATCAACGCCTCAATCAAACTCCAAGATGGCTGCCAAAGTCTGAGTCCTCGTCCTCGTACACGTCCTCGTCGCCCTCGTCCTCCTCCTCCTCCTCCTCCTCCTCCTCCTCATTGTCCTCCTCTTTGTTCTCGTTCTCGGTATCTCCAGTATGTATATCGTCATCCTCCTCCTCCTTCTCCTCGACCTCGTCGTCTTGTTGCTCCCCCTCCTCTTCGTACCACTCTGGGCGTATGTATCCCTGCACGTTCTACTCTCCCCTGAAGAACGCAACTCGCCTGGGCATCGCTGAAGGATCTGCCAAGTGTCCGTCAGCTCTCATCGGCCTCGTTTCTGAATTGGCTGGTGGGGATACTTTTTTTTACAGCCGCAGGCGGAAGCGCCAGCGGCGAGAGGTCGCGGGCGGGCTACGGCCGCGACTAAATTGCCGAGCGCGCGCGGGGGCCGCGGATCAGGCGGCGGGAGAGGGGCAGCGCCCAGGGCGGCAGAGCCGACGTGCAATCCAGCGCCTCTCCTTCCTCTCCCTCCCTCCCTCCCTCCCTCCACCATGCTGCCCTCTTCCACAAGGTCTGGGAGGCAGCACACGTCGGTGACGAACCATAGTTTGTATAGACGCGCAACCAGACACCAACGCGGCATCAGGATTTCCAAACGGAACAAGCCTGCACATACGGTCAGAGATCGACTGGAGCAGAAGAGCGCCAGGAACTGGAAGGACCCGAATTGACTATGTGCGCACCAACGCCAGAAGCAGGCAGCTGGTCACCAACTTCGCCCTGCTTCGCGATAAGACCACGAACCGACACCTGGAGCTCATTGTCTCTCTCAACCTGGCTGGTGGTACCGGGGATTTGCCGCAGATGGTTGAGGGGCTCGCGGGGACCCAAGGGAGGGGGTAATGGTATATCTATACTTGTATACATATATGTATGTAAATAAATATCCACTTTTTATACATATATATATATATATATACATTTGGGTATCTGTATAGATGTGTGCATATTTTGAAATATGTGTGCTTATATCCGTGTAAATGTGTATATTGGTTGTATGCGTAGACTTGAACGTGCCACCGAAAGATCGGCGATACACCCCCGATGGTGACTCCGCAAGGTCCTGGGCGGGCGGCTCCTGTCGGCGATCAATGGGCGACAAGGGTTCGATGCGTCCCTCCGTGAGCATACTCCCCCCAATGATCCTCATCGTCTGAGTCATAGCTCGGGTCTCTGGCGGCCGTTCGGGACACCCTTGGCAGATCCAGAATGCTCTCGGCGAGGCGCAGCTGCTTGAGAGCATTCCGAGGCTGGAAACCAACCGCCGAGAACCAACGAAAACACCCGAAAGCCTCAAACCTCAAACCTGTCGTTCCCCTGAGCCCCCCAACGTTGCTCCTGACATTCCCTTCCCGCCTCTCCCCTCCTCGCCCGATCTGCGCGGCGGAGCTCCCCCCAACATCGGGCACACGCTGACGTGGATTAGAGATCCTTGGATCTGGCGCGTGGGCGCCAGATCCATGCATCGGGGAAAGTACCTCGAAACATACAGCCAGTGCCGACTGACCCGGCGACGAAACACATCGATGTCAACCCGCGCGCCTCAATCCATGTTTGCGCTTTCTCGACAAGAGGCTCCTCTCCCATGAGCATGGACTTTCGGACGTTCGCGCTGATGTCTCGGATTGGCGCCAGGGAGGGGCGGCAGTGGCGCCGACAGGGAGAGACCCATCGCCGACCTCAAATCTCCGCGCGGAGCTCGGAAAATCTACGTTTACGCACGGCAAACGCCATGGGGGGTTCACGATCCACTACGTCGAGGCCAGCATGTGTTTTTCGGACGTTTGCGAGTACAGTCGGCCTTGATTGGACAGGACACGCGAGAGGACACAAGACCCTTCCAAGGGCCACATCGCCATAGGAGTGTAAGAAGGCACGTGTCGCGAGGCACAGGACACAAGACTACCCTTGAGCTGGCAGGGTCGACCTACTACTCCGGGCCGACTGCAGGCAGTAGGCACTTTGCGAGTTGTGGACGGCGCTCGGTGACAAGGCTGACTCGAGCGATCTCGAGGCTCGTGGCTAAGCAGGCGCCTAGATTTTGCCAGCGCAAGGCGCCCAAGCAGGCGCCCGCAACTCTTCCGTGGAGTGTAACGTTCGGCCTCCGCGCCCTCCCCACGGATAAATCACCGTGGCCGGGGATTTTTAAAAATTGAGGGGGGAGGGGGGGGGGGTACTTTCTTATCGCCCGCACGGGGTTCGTGGAAGGCGCTCGGTGACCCCGAGAATCGGCGGTGGACAAACCTCCCTTTAGTAAACCTCCCTCCCCTCAGTGAAAACGGCCTGGGACCGAAACCGACGGACCTGGACCCGAACAAAAATGACGGCCGCGACGCCCTCTCGCGAACCGAAAACGGCCAATTCACAAATCGACGTGTCCTCTCTTCACCGAGGGGGAGGAGGGGGAGGAGGAGGAGGAGGAGGAGGAGGAGGGAGGAGGAGGAGGAGGAGGAGGAGGAGGAGGAGGAGGAGGAGGAGGAGGAGGAGGAGGAGGAGGAGGAGGAGGAGGAGGCCCCGCGGGCGCCCAGGAGTGCCCGCCGGCTCGCCCACGAGGGCGAGGCACACACGGCGGGCAGGCTCTCGGCAAGAGACCCTGCACCGCCCGCAGGAGGCCCCCCCGTGGGGCCCGAGCAGGTGGGGCCCCGAGGGTCGCGCCGCATCGCCAGTGTCCATATGACAGATGGCATATTTTCGCGGAGCTCCGGCCCTCAGCGTTGCCCTTTACTTTTGGTCTCCTTTCCGTGGGCTTTGCATCTGGAATGTCGATGCACATTCGAAGAGAAATCGGCCTGCCCGGACGTGCTCCGCGGAAACTCCTATGCCCTGATGGCCCCTAGGGGGGCCCTGGGACACACAAAGAAATACACACAGATACGCAGGACTCCCAATCTTTTCCCATCTTTTCGGGGCTTCTGCCTTCCCCCCCACTGCCCATAGTTTCCCATCTCTTCCTGGGGGTCGACGAGTCATTGTGTCTGTGTGCTTCTTCCCCTCCTGAAGTGTATCGGCGATTCGTCGGCGACGCATCGGCGATGCATCGCCGACGTCGGCGACGCTTCGGCGACGACGGCGTCGGGGAAATCGGGTCCCGCAGCGAGCCGCATCGCCGAGGCATCGGCGATGCGGCGCGATCCTTGGGCCTCATCTACGCCGACCCCATCTCATCTGGGAGGCCTGGAGCAGCGCCAGCAGGCTCGCCCACGAGAGCGAACACACGGCCGGACAGTTCGGCAGGCCCTCGCCGTCGCTGGGACGTCCACCTCCCGCGCACGGTTCGGCCTCATGCCTGGGAGGTCCCCCATGAGGATCCAGAAGGCTCCTCGATGATCCTCACCGAGAAATGACTGCTCACGTCCGACCGATGCCACGGGCTCGGCCAGACCGTGTGCTGCCCGTTCATCCTCGGACCCCCCCGGGGCGGAGGAGGAGGCGGAGGAGGAGGAGAAGGAGGAGGACCAATGTAGAACCAAGAGTCATCAACGATGTTGAAATTAACCTTCCCTCCAAACTCCCTCTTCATTGGAAGACAACCGTTTGAAGATCCCGAAACATGCCAAAACATTGTTCTCTGGATTTCAACGCCGCGTATCAACCTGACTGCTGCGTCTTGACGATCCGGAATCGCGCCATAGCGTCAGTTTGGGGGACTTCAAAACCACGAACCAACATGACCGCTGCACCCGCATAATCCCGAAACCTTCCAAGACGCCGCTTCTGGTACGTTGATCATGGAAGCCCGTAAACAAATATTGCAAAGTTTGAAAACGAATGTGCGCGGCGCTCAAACGAGATCCATATGTTGAAAAGGAACCGCCCTTAATCCGCGAACCTCTTACATGTGTTAAAAAAATGTGCGCAGCGCTAAGGCGAGAGCCACAGTTTGAAAACCACCCGCCCTCCATCTGTGAAGCTGATGAATGTTTAAACGAATGTGCGCGGCGCTAAGGCGAGAGCAACATTTTGTAAACCACCCGCCCTCCATATGTGAAGCTGTTGTCACTTTACAGTATCAGCATCAAAGAAGGTGAGAAAGTCTCGGGCGAAACGCCCGGCATGCCCAAAAAACTGGCCTCGGGGTGCGACAGGGAGGAGCTATCTATAAGGCGAAGGAACGGAGGAAGGGGAGGAGGAGTAGGAGTAGGAGGAGGAGGAGAAGAAATGGAGGAAGGGAAGGAGGAGGAGGAGGAGGAGGAGGAGGAGGAGGAAGAGGAGGAGGAGGAGGACCCCCCCCCAGAGAGAGGCAGAGGGGCACGCCGCGCCGGCCTCGAGAGCAACGCACGCTGGCCTTGGCACAGGCCCCCCCTCCCCGCGGACCCCCGCACGCGATGCGCGCGAGCGCCACTCCGCTCCCCTCCCCCTCGGCGGGCGGGTGCTCCGCGTCGTCCTTGGCATCCTCCTCCCCTTCCTCCTCCTCCGCCCCTCCTCTCCTCCTCCTCCTCCTCCTCCTCCTCCTCCTCCTCCTCCTCCTCCTCCGTCTTTCCTCCTCCTCCTCCTCCTCCTCCTCCTCCTCCTCCCTCCTCCTCCTCCTCTTCCTCCTCCTCCTCCTCCTCCCCTTCCTCCTCCTCCTCCTTCTCCTCCTCCGGAGTCCCTCACGGGCCTCCGGCGGCCGTCTCGGGGTCAGGCGTCGGCGGCGACGTGGAGGCCTCCGGGGATGGGGCCCGCGCAGCTGGGGCCGGAGGCCCTCGCCGCATCGCCGAGACACCGACGATGCGTCGGCGATGCATCGGCCATGCACCGCCGATGCTTCGGCGACGCATCGGCGATGCATCGGCGACGCATCGGGGCGGAGAGAATGGGGCCCCACGTCGAGCCGCATCGCGGATGCATCGGCGAGGCATCGGCGGTGCGACGAGGTCCTCCGGCCGCATCTGCTCCGACTCCATCCAGGCGGCCTAGAGGCGAGCGAGGGGGGGAAGGCGAGAAGGAGAAGGCCTTCTCAAAAGGCGGCGTGGCTTCTGGGAAGCCCATCGCGCCCTCTGAGAAGTGTTTTGTCTGTGCCTTCGGGGGAAGGCTTGGAGATCTTCTGAAGGAAGTCTGGTAGACGCTCGAGCCTCCTGAGAAGGCCTCCTCCCTCTCACTTCCCCCCCTGGGCTCGCCGCAGAGAAAAAACACGGTCATCATGACCAAGATGCCCCTTGAGGGACAGACGGCTGCATAAACAGAAACGTTGGGAGCTCTTTTCGAGTTTCTTGGATCTGCGCTGCGCCCCCTTCCTTGGCGCGCGGAGCAGCACACGGGGGGCGCCAGGGAGAGGGCTCCGATGCAGATCCAAGAAATTCGCGCGGACCTCCTCACGTTGATTCTTATGCAGTTGATTATTATTCACGGATTAAGAAATTATGTCAACGTCGTTCTTGATCATGGTCCATACTGGTCGTCGCCGACGCGATCCACGATTTAACGATGACCAAGATCGACACCCGACGTGTCCGCGTTCAATCTTGGTCATGGCCATCGCTTTCTTCCCCTCAATCGTCGTCCTCGCCGTCACCCTAAAACGAAGCCAGAAACAACGTTTTTTTCGGCGGCGAGGCAGAGGCAATCCGCACCAGCGTGGGACGAATCGGGGCAACCGATCGGCAAATTGTCCCGCGTGCAAGAGAGAAAAGGCTTAGACGAGGGCGGCCTTGCGAAGTGTCGAAAGCAAGGCACAACACAACATCGGGTCGGGAAACATAAGGGCTCTTGGGCGAAATGACTCATGGGGATGGGCATCTGGGAATCAACATAGGCAGGGAAAAGCCGCGAGAAAGACGAAGCCGGCTAATGCATGGCCTCCGAGTGTCACGCAGGCGCTGCGACCGCACCCCGAGCCGCAGCCCCTGACTCGGGCGAGGGATGTGCGTCGGGAGCCCCGCGGCCGCTTTTCGGTGCGCGCTGCAGCGCCCTGATGGCTCCGCGACGCTGCGGGGCGACTCCTCCCGATCCCGGGCCTGCCTGACGCCGTCCTGCTTCCTTCTCGCCCCCAGGTTCTGGTGCATCCGCGGGGGACCTTGTCTGTCTCGTCGCAGCCCTGTCCGCGTCGAGCCCGCGACGAATCCACTGAAGGGGCCCTGGGACACACAAATAAATACATACAAATCAACAACATCCCCTATATGTTCCCATAGTTTCTGGGTTTTTGTCTTTCCCCCCACTTCCCATATTTTCCCATATTTTCTGGGAATCAAGAATTAATTGTGTCTGTGTGATTCTTCCCCTCCTGATTCATGTTCGACTCGTCGGATCGGAATCGCATCCGCGTCGGGTCCGCGCCCAATCCGCGTCGGGTCCGCATCGAGCCCGCGCCTGGCACAAGCAACGGCACCAGCTCGGGGACGCGCGGGGCCCCCCGAGGGTGCAGCGCCAACCCCGGCGCACCAGGATGGCAACAGGAGGGCACCCAGAGGCCGCCGAGAACCCCAAATCAGCAAGGGCGCTCCACAGAGGCGTGAAAAAAACCACAGGGACGCCCCAAACATGTGCCGCTCCTCCTCCTCCTCCTCCTCCCTCTCCTCTCCTCTCCTCCTCCTCCTCCTCCTTCTCCTCCTCCTCCTCCTCCTCCTCCTCCTCCTCCTCTCCTCCTCCTCCCTCCTCCTCTCCTCCTCCTCCTCCTCCTCCTCCTCCTCCTCCTCCTCCTCCTCCTCCTCCTCCTCCTCCTCCTCCTCCTCCTCCTCCTCCTCCTCCTCCTCCTTCTTTCCTCCTCCTCCTCCTCCTCCTCCTGCTCCTCCTCCTCCTCCCTCTCCTCCTTGACTCAAGCCACTTCGCGTCCGAGCCGCCCTGGCATGCGGGGGCGCGCGCGGATTGTGCAACCACCAACTCCGAAGTGGCATTGCGGTAGCGAGCCACCCTGTCGACGTCGAGAGGTCAGCATAAAGAGAGGTGGGTGCCCAACGTCATCAGCTGCAATGCGGTGACGGGCATGCGCCGTGCCAGATGCGGAGTCCGTCTCCCTCGCGCCCTCGCCCTCCCCTTCCTCTTTTCTCTCCTCCACACCCTGGCGAGCAATAGCGTCAGCCGCAGCGGCGTTGTTGCAGAGACGTAGGTCAGCTACAGAACTGGGATCGGCCTCAGCGGCGACAACGCTGCTGGAGTCAGGTCGAGCGCGTTGGCCATCAGCTACAGCGATGGGACCAGCACGTGCGACAACAAAGCAGAGCCCGACGTCCTCACCTACAGCGCGGCAAGCAGTGCATGTGAGAAAGGCGGGCAGTGGCAGCAGGCCCTGGCGAGGCTCAGGGACACGAAAGCAAAGCTGGAGGCTAAAGCGCTCAGCTACACGGTTGCAATCAGCGTGTGCGAGAAGAGCAAACAGCGCGCCCTCAACCACAGCGCCGCAAGCAGCGCGTGCGAGAAGGGCGGGCAGTGGAAGCAGGCTTTGGCAAGTTTCCGAGAGAAGGAGGCAGAGCTGGAGCCCGACGTCCTCAGTTACAGCGTTGAAGCTGGCGCGTGCGGAACAAGAGAGCAGTACACAACTCGGGGCAGTGGACCGGTGCACCCCGAGGCTGCACCAGGCAGCAGTACAGGAGCAGATCCACTCAGCTACAATTCTGGGATCAGCTCGTGCGCGAAGGCAGGCAGTGGCAGCAGGCGCTGGCAATGCGAGATGGGCACGCAGTGGCAGCACGCTGCTGACATGCGAGAGGCGGAAGTGCAGGGGCGGACATCCTCAGCTACGATTCTGAGATCAGCTCCTGTGCGAAGAGCAGGAGCCAACCAAGATCAACTACAACGCTGGGAGCGGTCCGTGCGAGAAGGGCGGCAGCATGCGACAGTGCAGGAGCAACCGTCCTCAGTTACAACTCTGGGATCAGCTCGTGCACGAAGACAGGCAGTGGTAGCAGGCGCTGGCACTGCGAGAAGGGCACGCAGTGGCAACAACTGCAACTGGGAGAAAGCGGAAGTGCAGGCGCGGACGTCCTCAGGTACAGTTCTGAGATCAGCTCTTGCGCGAAGGCAGGCAGTGGGGCACGCAGTGGCAGTGGACGCTGGCGCTACGAGAAACTGCGAGAAGTGGGAGGCGAAGGCAGAGCCCGACGTGATCAGCTACAGTGCTGGGAGCGAAAGAGAGGCGAGCAAAACGTGCGGGTATACCACGATCACCTACAATGCTGGGAGCAGTCCGTGCGAGAGAGGGGGCGCACAGTTGCGAGAAGTGGGAGGTGAAGAGAAAGCCTGATGGCATCTGGCAAACCTGCTCGGCACTGCGCGTGCGAGACGTGTTGGGGCAAACAATTGGGGCAGTGGATTGGTGCACCTCGATGGCTTCGGCTCGAAAGGGGAGCGCTGTGGCCAGCCTCTTGCGAGAAGGGGGGGGGTGAAGCTAGAGCCCAAATTCGCCGAGAGCTATGGACAAGCCTCTTGCGATAAGCGGGGGGCAAAAGCTGAAGCCCAAGACTAGTCTCGAGCGAGCCGCATTCAGTTGCAGTGCTGGAATCAACTCGTGCGAGAATAGAAGGCAGGCAGTGGCAGCTGGGGTGCCAAAGCGTGCGAAGAATGGGGTGTGGCTCGGAGACGGCCCGAAACGACCCCGCTCCCACGGCACGAAACGGAAAGGCATCGGGATCCGTGTTGCCCGGAACACTCCCGCAGCATTCCCTCTCCTCCTCCTCCTCCTCCTCCTTCTCCTCCTGGTGATCCTCCTCCTCCTCCTCCTCGTCCTCCCCCTTCGTCCCCCTCCTGCGTATCCTCATGACCCTCGCCTTCGTCCCTCTCGTCCTCGTGCTGGTCGAGGCGCCAGTGAATCTCCCCGACCTCCCACCACTAGCCAGCCTCACCACCCTCGCTAGTTCACAGTCCTTCCCCTCCTCGTCCTCTGAAGGGGCCTTGGGACACACACATAAATACACACAAATAAAAGGATTCCCAATATTTTTCCATATGTTCTGGGTGTCTGTCTTCCCCCCACTTCCCATAGTTTCGCATTTTTTTGGGGGGGAATCGACGATTAACTGTGCCTGTGTGTTGTTTCCCTCCTGATCCTCCTCCCTCCCCTCGTCCTCGGCCCGCCCCTCTCCACCGCCCAATCCCCCTCCCCCTCTGGATCCGCCTCCTCCTCCTCCTCCACGCGCTGCCTCCCCGAGCTGCCTCATCCAACCGTCTCCCCCCCTCAGACGCCCCCCCGCTCTCCCCCATGTCTCCTCCTGCGCCTCCCCTCCTACAGTCGGGGCGTTGACCTAAGGAACCCTAAATCAGGAACGAGGCCCCTATTTTCCATCAGTTAAACTTCGATTTCCGATCGAAAACCTATGGAAAACCTGAGGCAAGCTGCGAAACACTAAGGAACGCAGGGCCCCTCCCCAACCAAAAGGGTTCCTTCTTCAGGGCCCCGACTCTATCTTCCTGATCGTCCTCGTCCCTCGCCGCAGCTTCCGCCCTCTTCCTGAGCATCAACCATGCTCCCAGTGGCAACTGGAGCGCTGGGGCCGCGGCGTATCAGCTGCACGAAGCAGAACATCACAAGAAGGAGCGACGGTACGAAAGCCAACAATAGCTTCATGTCCTCAAGTGGAAAGCAACAGCGGGCGTAAATTGGAACGGCTGGAGGATAGGTTGCAATGGATCCATAACCCGCCACAGTGCCCCCTGGCACGTTGTGGCGTGGAAGAAGGGCACACGGTCTGCCTGGCAGGTGCTTGCCAACTTATAATAAGGAATCGCCCCCCCCCCCCCCCCTACCCGTACCCGCAGCCTCCTGCGTACGTCGCCCCTTCTTACCGAAACCACTTGCCCCGTGACCCCTCGAGGATGCTGCACTTTCAGCATGGCAGCTATCGCCTAAACCCCCAACTCCACGCGTGACCCCTCGAGGATGAGGCACTTCCCGCATAGCAGCGAATGCCTGAACCCCTCTTCCACGCATGCCCAGCCGAGGTTGGTGCACTTCCTGCGTGGCAGCTAATGCCTAAACCCTCCTCCATGTGCACCCGCTCGAGGATTGTGCACGTCCCGCATGGCTGCTATGTAATCCACCCCTCATACAACGCCCGACCGCTCGAGGATCGCGCGCGTCCCACATTCCCAGGCGCTGCTCCCAAGAGCTCCAGGGACTCCCAGGACACGATCCCTGGCTGCAAACGATGGATCTGCGCCCCGAGCTTCCAAGACCGCCCGTGCAGGCAACTAAGGGCAGCAAGATGGCCCAAGATGCCTCGAAGACGTCCCAAGATGGCCCCAAAGCGGCCGAATATCGATTCAAGGCGGCCCGAGAAGCATCCAAGAGAGCCTGAAACGGTGTTTTGCATGACTGTCGGAGTCTCGCCTTTCTGGGCTGCCGTCAACCCGAGACGGCCCAAAAAGACTCCACGATGGCCCAAGAGGCGTCCAACGCTGCCCAAGAGGGGCCCCCGTGGGACCCAATACGGCCTCAGCAGGCCTTTGACGGCCCAAGGCGGCGCTAAGACGGCCCACGACGGCCTCCAGACACTCACCATACGGCCAAGAGGGCCCCAAGACGGCCCAAGACAGCCCCAAGCCAGCGTAAAAGGATCCTAAGACAGCCCAAGAGGACCCCAAGGGACCCCCGAGACTGCCTCAAAAGGAGACCAAGACAGCCACAAAACGGCCCAACACACAGTTCGTCATCATCATCATCACCACCACCACCATCATCATCATCAGCAGCAGCAGCATCATCATCAACATCATCTACACTATCGTCAGCCTCACCAGCAGCATCAGCAGCATCATCATCATCACCACCTGCCTCATCATCATCATCATCATCATCATCATCATCATCATCATCATCAACATCAGCATCATCATCACCACTCTCATCCTCATCACCACCGCGATCATGATGATCATAGAATCATAACTATCATCATCATAAACCTACTCATGGTCCTCAGCATCACAATCATCATCAAACAACCTCACCCTCAGCATCACCACTTCCACAGCTACCACCACCACCATAATCGTCATCATCAACATGATCATCGTCATCATCTACGTCATCATCTACGTCATCACCATTGTCACCGTCCTCGCCGTCGCCGTCGTCATCGCCCGAACCAGCATCATAATCAGCATCCGCATCATCACCATCATCACCATCATAAGCACCCGCATCATCATGATCACCATCATGATAATCGTTGTCGCCATCGTCAACAACAACATCATCATTATCGTCGTCATCATCTTGACCCCCACCATCGTAACAGTCCTTAGCATCCTCTTCATGGCTCCCCGATGCATGGATGCACGAGATGTCACACGTAAAGGCCTCCCGTGCCATCTCGAATAGTTGCCACCCATAATGAAGGGCTGGCACAGGACTCGCTGCAGGCAGCTGGATATACACGCGCGATGAGCTATACACGATCCCTGGAACACATCGCCGATGTACCTGCGCACGAATGGCCTTACATGTTAGCCAGCGTTGACCCCAGACGGAGTAGGATTAGCAATCTATGCAGTGCTATCTAGATGGCGCATCCCATGTGATGCAATCTGCGTTGTGCAATATATCCGCCACCGTGCCGCTGGGCACGGAGCGAGGAGGAGTAGGAATATGAGAAGAAAAAGGACGAGGAGGAGGACGCGGATGAGGAGGAGGAGAAGCAGGAGGAGCAGGAGGAGGAGGAAGAGGATGAGGAGGAGGAGAAGGTCCGCTGCCCAATCCCCCGCGCCTCAGTCCCCGACCCTAAGGGCTTGAAAGGCCCAGAGCGAGAACTGGCAAATCCATCGGGGCCCCCGGCGTGCCTCCATGGGCTCTGAAGCCTGTGGAGGAGGAGGAGGAGGAGAAGGAGGAGGAGGAGGAGGAGGAAGAAAAGGAGGAGGAGGAGGAGGAGGAGGAGGAGGAGGGGAAAAGGGGAGGGGGAAAGGGGAGGGGGAGGGGGAGGGGCTTGCCGCAGGACCCCAGGACGGGCCACGAGAGCCCGGAGGCCCACAGGACGGTCCAAATGGGGCCGGCGACGCCCAACGGCCGCACCAAGACGCCCAAGATGGCCACAGGACGGCCCAAGATGACTCGAAGACGCCCCAAGAGGCCTCCAAGAGGCCCCCCAAGAGGGCCCAAAGATGCCGAAACCACCAAGAGCCATCCAGTTTTCTTTCGCAAATGTTTGGCGTTCTCGAAATTTCGGCTCCCACGACGCTCCCAGACGGCACTAAAGCCCTCAGGATCGCCCGCATGGCCCAAGCGGCCTGCAAGAGGGCCCCAAAAGGGCCCAAGAGGGCCCTAGGACAGAGCAAGAGGAACCCAAGACGACCCAAGAGGCCCCACAGACGCCTTCAAGAGGGGGCCCAGGGCACCCAGGAGGCACCAAAAGGCCCACAAGAGGCCCCCATCGGGCCAGGCGAAAGGGGGGGATAGCCTAAAGGGAGCTTGAAAATCACCTCGCGTAGTTGATTTTCCCACTTATAGAGGAATAGAGGAATGGGCCCGGCGGCGGGGACGAAACCACCTGCATGCAGCAGATTTCGTAGCCCCGTTTTCCCAATCCCCCCTTCTCGTCCGGCCGGATCCCAAGAGGCCCCAAGAGGCCCCCAAGAGGCCCCAAGAGGCCCCCCAAAAGCCCCCAGGAACCTCTCAAGAGAACCCAAAACTTCCCTCCAGAGGATTCTGAGAACGCCCCGAAGAGACCCCAGAAAACATCCCTGATAACTCCGACCCACAACCTTGGCACGGTGGGGGATGGGCCGAACGACGTTGTGCAGTCCATGCTGCTCAAAATGTATTGTGCAATGCAACGTATGACGAGGCAGTCTGTGGTGCAACTCAAGTAGAGGTGGTACACCTGATGTTGTGCAGTATGCGTGGTGCAAGCCATGTGGCGCAATGTATGCCCTTCGCAATATATGTGGTACTGCCGGCGAGGTGCAACGTATGTAGTACATTTCATGTGGGCCACATCACGTCGTGCAATCTAGGCGGCGCAGTTGACGTGGTGCAGTTCTTGTGGGCGACATGTGCGATACACGATATGTATACATATGTAAATATATACATACCAGAACCGTCGCGTGGGCTTCGCGCGCGCTCAGGTTCTAGCAGGCCCCAGGCCTTGACGAATTCACTGCTCCACTGCCGTAGTGGACCACAGTCCACGCGTGCCAATCTGCATTTCGAAAGGCCATCGAAGAAATGGTTGTGTAGGGGGGCAGAGGCCATATGAATCGGGTTCCCAGAGGGCCTTCCGGGAGCATGGGTTTGGGGCGTTTCGGGGACCCTGTTGGGGCGCGCCGTCGTCGTCATCGTCGTCGTCGTCGTCGCCGTGCTGCTACGACCCACTCCCGAACCTGACCTTGGGGGCGGCCTAACCAGGCGCAGCCCCGATCTGCAACAGACCCGACGCGTTCCGTCCAAACTGAACGCCAAGTTCGCACTCGCCCAGCACGAAGGAACGGCAGCTGCGGTCGCCAATCGTCTCGCGCCGAATCCGTGCGTTTTACGACGGGGACGGGCTGATTTTTGCCTCTTGAAGGCCCTCTTGGGGCCCTCTTGTAGGGGGAGGAGGAGGAGGAGGAGGAGGAGGAGGAGGAGGAGGAGGAGGAGGAGGAGGAGGAGGAAAAGGGAAGAATGAGGAGGAGCAGGAGCAGGGGCAGGAATTACATGCGCAGAAAGCGTCAATGCCGAGGCACAGGAGCCTATGCCAAGTCAGGCGCGCGTGCGATACAGCAAACTGAATCCACGCGCGCACGACGATCAACTGCAGAAAAATGGTTGGAAACACGAATGCACCTCATGCTTGCCGCCCTGAGGCGTGCAGCCATTCAAGCCAGGAGCCAACAGAAATGCAAGGTCAGACAGGGGCCCGGCGACCGGCGGGCTCCACAGCCGGAGCTCGGCGGGAGGACGACTCCAGCCGCGGCCATGAAACAAAAAACAAACCATGCAAAGCCGGAGCCGTGCATCGCCATGGAGCCGCGGCCATGTAATAGCTATCAGCGAAAGACAAGCAGGAAAATAACATACAGAGGGGGAAAGAGTGGGCCAAGACCATGAAGAGCAGCCGCAGCAGCAAAAGGATCAAAGGCAGAAAGACGATACGCCAGGACAGTGAAGGACAAAAGGAGCACCCGAACTCAAGCCGAGGAATTATGTTCCCGGCCGGTTTTCTGGGAACATATTTCTTAAAACGGAGAGACAGCTCGAGAAGCAACAGGAGACGGACGAGGAGCAGTCTCAGGGCCGTCTTGCGGCCATCTGGGAGCCGTCTTGCGGCTGTTTTGGGCCGTCTTGCCGCGGTCTTGGGAGCCTCTTGGACCATCTTGGGGCCGTCTCGCGCGCGTTGGAGCCGTCGTGATTCATCTGGAGCCCTTCGTGGAGGCCTCCGGAGCTGACTTAAGGCCCTCCAAGAGGAGTCGTGGGAGCCGCTTGAAACCCTCTGGGGCCGTGTTGGTGCGGTGCAGAACGCGTCGTGGGCCGTCTTGGAGCGTCGGACTGGCCGGAAAGTCTACATGCCAAAAATACGCGCTTTCTCAAGGAATTAAACGATTTGTGGCTATTGAATCTCTGTTCGGAAGGTTGTGGGGGCCATCTTGGTGCGT